CGAAAGCGGCGGCACGCACATCAGCTGCAGGAACTCCGCGCGGACTTCCTCTGGAGCGGGACCGGGCCCCCCCGGCGCGCGCCCCGCGCGGCAGGGAGGGGGGGCCCACCGCCGCCGATCCAAGACGTGCCCGCGGGCTTCCCCCGAGCTCGAACGTTGCCAGAAGTTGCAGCGTCGCGAAACATCACGGCCGCAGCCCTATGCTCCACTCTGCCGCGGCATGATTCGAGCCAGAAATCCGCGCGTTTCTCGGTCAGTTTCTCGTTGGGCAGTTTTTGTTTCCGCCGCGCTGCGAAGAAAGAGGTCCTTCCCTCCCTTACCCGGCTTCCGAGGCATAAGACCGAGGATGGCTCGGTGAGGGCACCCTTCAGGACGGGAAAAAGCACACAGACACAATTAATCGTCGATCCCCCGGAACATATAGGAAAATATGGGAAGTGGGGGGGAAGACAAAGACCCAGAAAATACAAGGACATGTGGGGAATCCTGTCGTTTGTGTGTATTTATTTGTGTGCCCCAGGGCCCCTTCAACCCACTCTTCCGGGCGCTCGAAATTATGTTTGGGATGTGGTCCTTAAGTACGATGGGAGCAGCATAACCCTGGTGTGAAGTCGGGCCTGTCCCCCTACAGGGGGATTTTCGACGGGAAACAAGATACCCCCAAAACAGTCCAAACATAGTCCAAACATAGTCTGGGGACCATATTTTGGAGCATGTTTTGACCATTTTGGAATACTTTTGGGGGTATTTTTTTGTTCGTTGAGAATCCCCCTGTAGGGGGACAGGCCCGACTTCACCCTGGTGTCCTCTGTGCCTCCTGGCTGTCCTCGTGCCTCCTCGGGAGGGTGTATTTGTTTTTTTGGAGGGTGTATTTTGGAGCATTTTTGGGGTATTTGTTTTTCGTCGAAAATCCCCCTCTAGGGGGACAGGCCCGACGTAACCCTGGTGTCCTCTGTGCCTCCTCGCTGTCCTCGTGTCTCCTGAGGAGGGTGCCCCTTGGCCGTTCGGCGCGCCTGGGCCGACGGAGGGAAAGAAACACACAGACACAAGTGATCGTCGACTCCCAGGAAATAGGGGAAAATAGGGGAAGTGGGGGGGGGACGAAAGTCCCCAAAAGATGGGAAAATGTGAGGGATATTTCTATTAGTGTGTCTTTATTTGTGTATCCCAGGGCCCCTTCAAGGATGCGGGTAGGGCTAAGTCGGGCCTGTCCCCCTACAGGGGATTTTCGACGGAAAAAAAAACATACCCCCAAAATAGCCACAACTAGTCCAAGAATAGTCTGGGGACTATGTGTTGAATATGTTTTGGTCTTTTTGGGGCATGTTTAGGGTATATTTTATTTTTCGTTGAAAATCCCCCTGTAGGGGGACACGCCCGACAGAAGAGTAGGGGATCGACTACAAGATTGATGGACCCCCAAATTGGTTTCCCCCATCGAATCTACTACGAAGACGTCGAATGTTCATGAATCGACTGAGAATTCTGGGTATTTTCCGAAGGGTCGACGAGAAAATCAATTCTGAGGTAATTCAATTCTGTAGCCGATCCCCCAGGATGCTCCTCTGGCCTAGGTTCGACTGCACCTCCGCACAAGAATCAGGAGGGACAACAAAAACACACAGACACAAGTCATCGTCGATTCCCAAGAAAATGTGCGGAAATAGGGGAGGCGGGGGGGAAGACGAGAATCAAAAAGTATGGGAAGATATGGGGAATCTTGATATTTGTGTGTACTTATTGGTGTGCCCCTGGGCCCCTTTAAAGAGGGCGCGCCGTCCGCGTGCGCCACACCGGGCCGTGCCTGGCTAGGGGGGGCCCCTGCGGCCCCCCTGGCCTGGCACGGGGGCGCCTGGGGCGTGCATCCGCTCATCGCCGGAGGGACCTGTGGTGCGTGATGGGCCCGTTTTCCACCACCACCACCACCATGAGTTGAAATGGGGAAGGAGGATGAGGAGGAGGACGAGGAGGAGGAGGATGAGGAGGAGGACGAGGAGGAGGAGGAGGAGGAGGAGGAGGAGGAGGAGGAGGAGGACCCCCTCCCCCGTCCAACTTGTGGTGGTGGTGGTGGTGGTGGACAACAGGCCCATCGGTGCGGGCTCATCGGGGTCCCTGGGATCGCCGAGCGCGATGCGACAGCGGCCGATAGCGCACGTGCATGTGGAAACCTTGCGCCCCCCTAGTCCGCGCACCAAAGGTCACTCTTGCCAAGGGACGCTGTTGCGTGTAGCCGAACCTCTTACGTTTCCCAAACATGTGGAGCACATGTTGCGTTGGTCCAGGATGTGGAAGCACATCTTCGGCCTGCTCAATGTTCATCGATAGTAAGAGTATGACAACCAAAGGACATGTGAAACCACATGTTGCCTTTTCCAGAATGTGAAGTCGCATGTTGCGTTGTTGCTTTTCCGACATGTGAATTCACATTTTGGCGTCTTGCAACGCATGTATTCGATTTTGCTTGTGCCATCGACAACGGCTGGACGATGCGTTACCGTCAAGGGACAGCACTCAGCATACAGCGTTTGAACGTCGAATTCCCGCGTCAATATGCCCGTGCACAGTGGATGCCAACCATGCCGGATCATTCGAATACGCCATAGATGGGCTATTCAGGACCCATTGAAGAACCCTTGTTGCGGACCTCTTCTTTCACCCTCCATACCTGGTGCAGGACGTTCCCGATCTGGGGCGAGAGGGTCCCGATCCCGGTCGGCACGACCCAGTTCATCAGCAGTGGCATTCGAGGGGCCCAGAATGGCACAGGCATAAGCTGCAGACGCTCTGCGCGTATCTCTTGGATCGGCGCTGGGCCCCTCTCCCTCGTGCGCGCAGCGCGCCAGGGGCGGCGCTGGAAGGGCCGCCAGGGGGGCCCCACGTCGATCCCAGAAATCCGCGCGGAGCTCCGAACCTTTTGGACAATGCACTACCTCTTCCCCTCAGGCAGGAGCGGCAGCTCGGCACGCCCCCTCGTGGGCGAGGCGAAGATGGCGATCAAGTGGATGCCGTCGGATCCGGACTCGAGCGACCCCGAGATCCCGGCGTCGCAATTTTTGTTCGCACCGGGCGTTTTCGCCAAGCTTCGGGCCCCGGGGCCATCCCAGAGCGATCTGGCTCGACAAGTGAAACAGAAAGATTGGGTCCAGAGCTCTGGTCCTGATTTTTCGCGATGATGCCGTTTTTTTTTTTTTTTTTTTTTTTTTTTTGTTCTCTCTCTCTCTCTCTCTCTCTCTCTCAACGTCGGATCTCGGGGGGGGCAGAAAAAGGCATACACCCATGCCGCTGAAATCGGGACTATTTCGGGCTCGGGAGCATTCTTCTGGCCGGCGCCCGCCGCGGTGAAGCGAGCCTCTGTGCTCCTCATCCGGCGTGCTTCATGGCCGCCCGAAGGCCGTACGCATCTTGCCGGGGGCGTCGCAGGTTCCCTGGGTCGGCGGCGAACGGCCCCCTCCCCTTTCCCCCTCCGCCACCTTGCTGGGCGGCGCCTCCAGCGCGCTCCGCGCGCTGGGGGAGGATAGCCGAGGGCGGGGTGGTCCACCGCCGGCGCAAGAGATCCGCGCGGTCCTCCGGAAGCGGATCATCCATTTTCGGAAGTGGATTTCCCACGGAGAAGAGCTTCCGAGGCATGCGATGCCCCGGCAGCTTTTTTCGTTGGGCTGTCAGGACGGCTCGTGCGTGGGGCAGATTGGGATCCACCTGTTCTCGGTGAGCTTCACGGCCCGGGAGCTCAGTGCGCAGGAAAAGAACCCGAGCCTCCGGGTGGTGACGCACGACGAGGCGGGGGGTGAGGTCAAGATCGAGCGGTGGGACCCACGGAAGGGCCTGACACGGGTAGCGGGCACCCTGAAGGACATGGCCTTGACGAATGTGTACGGCGGCCACATCGAGTTCTCCCCCACCATGTGGTGGGACACCCTGGGCGCTCTGCACACCTACCACGACGGGCGCGGGGACCAGGGCTGGAGGGAGGCCGAGCGCTCGTGGGTGTGGAGCCGCAAGATGGGGGACCAGTACTCCGTCCAGGGCATGCGGCTTCCAGAGAAGTTTGTGCTCCCAGAAGAGCACCGTGCGTCCAAGGAGGGAAGGTCGTGTGCATCGTCTGATCCTAACGTCATTTCCTTGCAAGCCTGCAGGCTGCTGACCCAGACCATCCTCCTGCGAGGCTACCACTGCGTCACCAATCGCCAGGCGGCCCTCATCTCCGACATGACCTTCAGCCGTGCTGGTGCAGTGCCGGGCCTGCTCGACGCGGTGTTGGTCCCAGGGGAGATCGGCGGGCATTCAGACTTCGAGCAGGCCCGGCAGGACGGCAGGTGCACGGACGTGAAGTACAGCATGATCTACACGCACGAGCTGCAGGTGACCGTCGCCGCTGGGTCTTTGAGCCTCTTTCCGCCGCGCGACGGGGGCTCGCTGACGCTGCAGCACCTCAACATCCAAGATCCCTATCCGGGCAGCGCGAAGGTCCTCTGGATCCGCTTCGCGCGCGCAGGTGACGGCCGGCGCGCCACCGTTCAGATCCCCGTCAGCCCGGTGGGGTACTTGACCTTGCCGCCACCAGATGAGATTGACGTCGACATGCCTGAGCGCGCCGTAGTTCAGGCCAGCGGGGGCGGTAAGCCCTTGGATACCGCCGCCACGCAGATGTCCGTCACGAAGTCAGAGTTCGTGAACTGTGTGCTTGCGAGCCCACTGCTCAGCGAGACGCTGCGGCGCATGACTATGGTAGACGATAGCCCAGACTCAGACGCACCCAGCGCGACGCCTACGCGTGCAGGCGTGGCCGTCAATCTGCATGTAACGATAGACGATCCAGACCAAGATCAGGAACTCGAAGAAGAGAAAACGGCGAAAGTAGAAACTTCTGGAGCTCCGCACGGATTTCTTGGATCGGCGCTGGGGCCCCTCTGGCGGCGCCTCCAGCGCCGCCGCTGGCGCGCTCCGCGCGCCAGGGAGGGTGGTCCAGCTCCGATCCGAAGGGTCCGCGCGGAGCTCCGAACGTTTGTGCGTATGTCGTTTGTTTTCCCATCTCCTAGGAGCAGCAAGAGTTCATGGATGCGCTCGAGCTCCGCCAGGGGATCCTCCTCGAGGTGTGGGACAGCGACGGCCTGTCGTCCCGCTCGGACCTGCTGGGGGAGTGCTGGCTCCCGCAGCTGAGCCGCTTTGGCCCCGAGCCGCAGGTCCTCGATCTGATGCTGGAGAAGCCCCCAGACGTGACCGATGCAACGAGTACGCGTCCGGACCCCCACAAGCAGCTCGACGAGAGCATCGTGGTGAAAGGCTCGTTGAAGGTGGAGGTCACATGGAAGTTCCCCCTGGCAGAGCCCGAGCAGCCTGACGGTGCCGGGGCCAACCTCTCGCGCGAAGAGCTCGCGAAGCGCCGGGCGCTGATGCACTCCGGCACCTGCACACTGAAGATCCTCGAGGCCCGAAGGTTGCGCAGTGCCGACGTTGGCACCTTCAACCGGCCAGGAAAGAGCGACCCCTACGTCTGCGTCTACGTGCGGAACGAGGCCTTCGGTGCTGACGAGCAGGACTTGAAGCGCGGGTTCGGCAAGGGTGGGTGGCACGTGAGCGACACGCGGCCGCACCAGTGGAAGCCGCTCATGCAGACCAAGGTGGTGAAGGACAACAACAACCCGGTGTGGAAGGACGAGGAGAAGACCTTCGATCTGCAGACCGGTGGCTTCGAGAGGCGGACCAAACGCACTCGCACGCTGACCCACCCTGTCACGAAGCGCGGGCGCCAGCTGAAGCAGGACCAGGAGCACCTCTCGGCGGTGGGAAAGAGCAGCGAGAACGATCTGGATGTTTATTTCGAGAGTTCTATCAGCCAGCGGGATGAGGCGGACGAGGATGATGATGAGGACCGGGGTCGTCGCCACGGCTTCAGAGTGTTCCGAGGTGACACCATTTTCTCCTTCAAGGACAAGCTGCGGGAGGCGTGCATGGCGGAGAGCGACCACGAGGAAAGACACTCTTTCAGGACGCGGTACGAGAGCGCAGCCAAGTCCATCTCCGCTCAGCACGTGGTGATGGTATTCGTCCCCCCAGACAACCTGCGCAGCCTGAAGCAGAGGCGCCAGGACATGGGCTGCGAAAGTGGTCTCAGAGCAGTGCTCATGGTGCCCCCTCCCCTGCAGGAGAGACAAGAGGAAGGAAGATCATGAGGTGGAGGAGGAGGAGGAGGACTCAACGGGCCTGGTGCAGAGCGACGAGAGAGCCGCGGAACAGGAGCAGCTGCGGGCCTCGGTGTAGCGCGCATTGCCCGCCGACCAAAGGGGTCGTGGCCCACCGCCTTCGCCTCCCCAGGGTCCGCAAGCCAAGGCCTGAGACCGAGCGTCGTCGGGAGGAGGAGGAGGAGGGGGAAAATCAGTGCAATCCCAAGAGTCACCAACGATGTTGGAGTAAACCCTCCCTCTAAGCTCCCTCTTCACGGGCCCCTACAACGGTTCATCTCCACTGAGGGAACTGCCTCGCTGGAAGACAGCCGTTTGAAGACCCTGGAGCATGCCAAAACATCGTTCTCGGGATATCAACGCCACGGATCAACCTGACTGTTGCGTCTTGACAATCGTGAATCGTGCCAGAACGCCATTCCTGGGACCTCAACACCGCGAACCAATGTAATTCTTGTTACCGCATAATCCAGAATCTATCCAAAACATCATTTTTGGTATGTTGATCATGGGAATCCGTGACACCCTTGCAAATGTTATAACCGGATCTGCGCGGCGCTAAGGCGAGAGCCACATTTTGAAAACGGTTCGCCCTCAATCTGTGAAGCTCTTGCAAATTCTTACAACGAATGTGTTCGGCGCTAAGGCGAGAGCCACATGTTGAAAACGACCCGCCCTCCAGTTGTGAAACTGGTGCCAATTCTTAAGCTTCAGAGTCGTAAGTGGTGAGGAAGACTCAAGCGAAACGCCCTGCCCGCCCTAAAAATGGGCCTCGGGGCGCGACAGGGAGAAGTTATTTATAAGGATCCAGAATGGAGGAAGAGGAAGAGGAGGAGGAGACGGAGGAGAGGAGGAGGATGAGAAGGAGGAAGAAGCAGAGGAAGAGGAGGACGAAGAGGAGGAGGAGGAGGAGGAGAAAGAGGAGGAAGCGGAGGAGGAGGAGGAGGAGGAGGAGGAGGAGGAGGAGGAGGAGCAGGAGCAGGAGGACGAGGACGAGGAGGAGGAGGAGGAGGAGGAGGAGGAGGAGGAGGGAGGGAAGATCACCTCGATGTAGAGACCTCGCAGCATGGCCAGGAGCTCAACTACAAGAGGCAGCTGCAGCTAGAGCTTCAAGACCCTTCCAATTGGCAGCCGCTGGATGACCTCAAGACCTTCGGCCAGTACGCAACATCTTTCGGCTTCGGCCCCGAGGGGGAACACCAGAGGCTCATGGTCCGGGAGGGCAGCGAGGACCTGAAGAACAAGAACCTGCGCTACCGCCAGTTCGCAGAGCAGCGCCGGCGCCTGGTCGAGCCCGTCGGCACGACCGACACCGAGGCGGAGCGGTAAGTTGTCAGTGCCGCCCTCTCCTGGCCCCCGGAGCTCCCCAGAGGTCCCTGGATGCGCCCGCAGTCTTCGTCTTCGGGGCAGGCCCGAAACGGACATCTCAGGTTGCTTCTTTCTCCCAGCGTGCGTTGGCCCCCCCCCCGGAAGTCTCGACCTCTTTCCAGGGACTGGCTTCTCATTCCTACTGGCTTTTGCCGGGCTTGGGGCCCTGGAAGGCCCCCCCAGAGGTCATAAATATTGTGCAAAAACAAGTCCGTCGCGATTTCTTTCACAATGCGAGGGGGCTTGGATTCGGGGGTTGAACCAATAGGCCGTCGGACCGTTGCTGGGGTGCGTTGTACTCAGGATTTTGGTGCGGATCAACGCGTCGCGGCGAGGATCCCCCCCAAGGCCCAAGAAGGAACGCCCGGTAAACCTCGAGCTCCTTGGCACGAACCTCGAACCTCTCCTCTTGATCCTCGAGGAGAGTGTTTCTTAAAGGCCCGACGATCAGCCGGAGTATCGGGCCCGCCCCCCCCCGTCCCACCCCCCCGGATAATTTGACATCGTCATGTGCGCAGGTCCGAAGGGGGCTGCGTGGGAGTCATGCGCAGGGGCGTGCGCGGGGCTGCCTGCCCAGAGCGACAAGGTTGGGCCATCGGCCGGCACCTCTCCCTGCCCAATCGGGGGTGGACAGAAACCCCCAACAGTGACACGTCGATTAGTGAATGGCCCGTTTTCGGTTCTCGAGAGGGCACCGCGGCCGTTATTTTCCAGGCTTGCGCCCGCCAGGTTTGGGCCTCAGGTCGTTTTCACTGAACCACGTTTTACTAAAGGGAGGTCTGTCCATCCCCGACCCAAAATCCACCGTTTCAGGTTCCGGAATCACTTGGAACGGTTCCGGAGTGCTTCTGGGAGCTTGGCACTCACCGTTTCCAGTTCCCTGGTCACCCTGGACCCGTTCCGGGATGAAAACCCATCTGGGGCCATGTTGAGCTCCTTCCAGAAGGCTTGCTTGGGCTCTTTACAGAAGGCCTTATTGAGCTCCTTGCAGAAGGCCTTATTGAGCTCCTTGCAGAAGGCCTTGTTGAGCTCCTTCCAGAAGGCCTTGTTGAGCTCCTTCCAGAAGGCCTTCTTGGGCTCCACACAGAAGGCCTTCTTGAGCTCTTTAGAGAAGGCCTCCTTGAGCTCCTTACAGAAGGCCTTATTGAGCTCCCTACAGAATGCTTTATTGAGCTCCTTACAGAAGGCCTTGTTGATCTCCTGTCAGCAGCTTAATTGAGCTCCTTACAGAAGGCCTTATTGAGCTCCTTACAGAGGGCCTTATTGAGCTCCTTGCAGAGGGCCTTATTGAGCTCCTTACAGAAGGCCTTATTGAGCTCCTTGCAGCCCCGAGAAAAAGGCTCCCCAATAAGAGATTTCAATTGGAACATGACAATGTTAGGGGCTCCTTTGCACCCCGCCCATCCCCGAGAGAGCCGTTTTGCGTCGGGAGAGGGTTCCAGATGGATTTTCACTCTGCAACGGTTCCACGGTGAAAATATATTTGCGACCTTCCTGGGCGAGACGGTCCAGCCGCGAGAAACAAGCTCTCCAATCAATTATTTCATTTGGAAAACGGCCATGTGGGGGCTCGGGTACCCCCCCCCATCCCCGAAAGCGCCGTTTCGTGTTGGGAGAGGGTTCCAGATGGATTTTCACATTGGAACGGTTCCGGGGTGAAAATCCATCTGCGACCTTCCGACGCTGAGCGGGAGAGCCCAGCCGCGAGAAACAAGTTCTCCAAAAAGTTCTTTCATTGGGAAACTTATCATTTTGGGGGCTCGGGTACCCCCCCCATTCCCGAAAGCGCCGTTCTGCGCTGGGAGCGGGCCCCAGATGGATTTTCACCCTGGAACGGTTCCGGGATGAAAAGCCATTTGCGACCTCGCGACGCTGAGCGGGAAGGCCCAGCCACAATAAGAGGTTTCATTTGGAAAATTGTCATTCTGGGGATTCGGGTACCTCCCCCATCCCCGAGAGCGCCGTTTTGCGCTGGGAGAGGGTTCCAGGTGGATTTTCACCCTGTAACGGTTGACGGTTCCGCGGTGAAAATCAATTTGCGACGGCCCGGACGCGAGAAACAAGCTCCCCAAGAAGAGGTTTCATTTGGAAAATGACCATGTTGGGGGAGAGAGCCGTTTTGCGCTGGGAGGCGGTTCCAGAAGGATTTTCACCCTGGAACGGTTCCGCGGTGAAAATCAATTTGGGACATCGCTGGGCGAGAAGGCCCAGCCGCGAGAAACAAGCTCACCGATAAGAGATTCCATTTGGAAAATTACTATTTTGGGGGCTCGGGTCCTCCCCCCATCCCCGAGAGGCTGGGAGAGGGTTCCAGATGTTTCACATTGGAACGGTTCCGGGGTGAAAATCCATTTGCGACCTCCGGACGCTGAGCAGGAGGGCCCAGCCGCGAGAAACAAACTCCTCAACACGATATTTCATTTTGAAAATGACCATTTGGGGGGCTCGGGTACACCCCCCTATCCCCGAGAGCGCCGTTTTGCGCTGGGAGAGGGTTCCAGGTGGATTTTCATCCTGAACATTTCTGGAGTGAAGATCCATGTGCGACCTTCAAACGTTGAGCGGACGGGCCCAGCCGCGAGAAACAAACTCACCCATAAGAGATTTCATTTGGAAAATTATCATTTGGGGGGCTCGGGTACCCCCCCTCCATCCCCGAGGGCGCCGTTTTGCGCTGGGAGAGTGTTCCAGAAGGATTTGCACACTGGAACGGTTCCTGGGTGAAAATCCATCTGCGACCTCCCGACGCTGAGCGGGAGGGCCCAGCCGCGAGAAACAAGCTCCCCAATACGATGTTTCAGTGGGAAAATGACCATTTTGGGGGCTCGGGTACACCCCCCATTCCCAAGAGCGCCGTTTTGCATGGGGAGAGGGTTCCAGATGGATTTTCACCCTGGAACGGTTCCGGGGTGAAAATCGATCTGCGACCTCCCGACGCTGAGCGGGAGGGCCCAGCCGCGAGAAACAAATTCACCCATAAGATGTCTCATTTGGAAAATGGCAATTTTGGAGGCTCGGGTACCCCCCCCATCCCCGAGAGCGCCGTTTTGCGCTGGGAGAGGGTTCCAGGTGGATTTTCACCCTGGAACGGCTGCAGGGTGAAAATCCATTTGCGACCTCCCGACGCTTGGCGAGAGGGCCCAGCCGCGAGAAACAAGCTCCTCAATAAGATATTTCAATAGGAAAATGATCATTTTGGGGGCTCGGGTACACCCCCCATCCCCGAGAGAGCCGTTTTGCGCTGGGAGAGGGCTCTAGATGGATTTTCACCCTGGAACGGTTTCGGGGTGAAAATCCATCTGAGACCTCCTGACGCTGGGCGAGAGGGCCCAGCTGCGAGAAAAATGCTCCTCAACAGAGGATTTCCAATGGAAAATGACGATTTTTGGAGGCTCGGGTACACCTTCCCCCATCCCCGACAGGCACCCACAAGTTTCCTGAGAGCGCCCAGATGGAAAATTACCCGTTTCAGGTTCCAATTTTCACCCCGGAGCCGTTCCAGGGTGATTCTGGAACTTGAAACGATGCCGATGCCCTTCTCCCCCCAGATACTCTTCAATCAGTGGCGAAGCGCCCTGACCGAAGAATGTGTTAAGAACCTTTTGTGGTTTGCACGAAATGGTCTCAAACATTTCTGGCCGAGACTGCCTTGTTTTAGTGTATCGGGCTTCTGTTCTAAGAACTCTGTTTTTTGTTACTGGAATTGTTTGGGGTTCTCAGCACATGTCGTGGTAGGCCTCCAGGAATGCCGGGACGGTCGGTCCCTGCTCAGAATCTGGGCGACCGCCGAAAAGCGAAGAACGGTCTCGAGGGTCGAGGGCGAATGCCAGCGCAGGCGGAGTGCTTCGGCTACGCCCTGTGCTTCCACGAGCGGGACGGTGGCTCGCGGGAGTGGCGGCAGGCGCTCGGCGATGGCAGCAAGACCCAAGCACCGCCTCCGGCAGGGGCCCACCCTGGGGCCTGTGCTTTGGAAGGCCCAAGTGGTGCGGTGAGTCAGCGGGGATGCGAGGTGTCCGCACGGTTTTGGGACTCGGGTCATTCTCCAACGAAGTCACGGGCGACGGGCGACTGGGGCCTCCAAGGGTTCAAACGTATGCGTTGACTGGCCGTGCGAAGAGGCTTTTTGGGAGTTCAAGGTCGCCGCACGGTCTGTCACCGCACCGTCGTGGCACCCCGAAGTGATGGCGTATACCCAGGCAGTGTTGGGTATGTTCAGCGCTCGGGGTGCTCACGAGAAACCACGAGGCTGTGCCACGCAGCGTGTAAGCTTTTGCGTTGAGATCCCAGCGTCGGAAAAAAAAAACGCCGCGCCAGGCGTCGCAACAAGCCCAGAGACGGGCAGTTTTTGAAGTGTTCGGCTCGCCGTCTCTTGGGCCCTGAACCATCAAACAACAGCCCAAGATGACGCGCTGGCCCCGGATAGTGGGTCGAGATGTATGTGGATCGCCTGGGGCCCATAGCACGAAGAAGAATGCGAATTTGGAGGAGAGGGGTGTATACTCAGGCGTTGCCAAGGGGGGTCTGCACCAGGGCGTTCGCTACCTCCTCCTGGGGATCGAGAGACCAGGGGGAGGGAGGGCCGAGGGTCGAAGAGGCTCCTGGACTTCTTGGCGCGTCTGGAGTGGTTCTGGGGGGGGCGCGTGGGCAGCGCTGCGCAGGCGGGGCCGCTCAGGGCGGAGACTCGCTCTCCTGAAGCGTGATACCCTCCTCATCCTCCTCCTCCTCATCTTCCTCCTCCATTCTCCCTGTCGCGCCCCGAGGCTGGTCGAAGGGGCGGGCCGGGCGTTTCGCCTGCGACCTCTCTTCCATGTGTGATCCAGACGCTTCAACATCGGCCACAGCTTCACAGATGGAGGGCGGGCGGCTTTCAGATTTGGCTCTCGCCTTAGCGCCGCGCACATTCGTACTGAGAAAGTGCAAGAGCTTAACGGATTGAGGGTGGGTGGATATCAAAATGCGGCCCTCGCTTTGGCGCCGCGCACATTCGTATTGAGAAAGTGCAAGAGTTTAGCGGATTGAGGGCGGGTGGATTTCAACATGTGGTTCTCGCCTTAGCGCTGCGTATCCTCGTCTGGACACTTTTCAAGAGTTTCACGGTTTGAGGGCTGGCCGTTTTCAAAATGTGGCTCTCGCCTTAGCGCCGCGCAAGTTCGTGAAACAATGGAGGAGTTTCACGGATTTCCACGTTCAACGTAGGATAATTGCGTTTTGGAACGGTTCAGGGTTGCCAGGGCGCAGTAGTTACGTTGATTCGCTGTGTCGAAGTCCCAGGCATTGCGTTCTGGAGCGACTCAGGGGCGTCAAGGCGCAACAAGCAAGTTGATCCGTGGCGTTGAAGGTCCGAGAGCGGTGTCTTGGCGCTTCAGGATCTTCCAACGGATGTCTCCCAACGGGGCTGGCACTTCCCTCAATGGACATGGCTCTTTGTGAGGACCTACAGCCAGCGCGCCTAGTAAGGACGCGCGCCTTCATCTAGGGTACCCTTGTGTCCTTGCCTCTGAGGCTCGTCCTTGCCGTCATCACTGGTCGCCCGCCGCCCTAAAAAACCCAACCTCGGCCTCCAGGGGTCTTGCGTCCTTACCTCGCGTCCTGACCATACGTTTTGACTGTATGATGGGGGAGCTTGGACGGGCTGGGGCCACCAGCTGCCTGGCGCTTTCGCGCCAGAGGGGGGCGTGACGTCGGGCCATCGGGTACCCCGCCGCCCCCCTGCCGCCCCTCTCTGCTTTTCTTTTGCTGCCCTCACCCTTCGATCGGGCGTGCGCCCCGCCGCCCGACCTGAACGGACGATGGGCGAGGATGCGTGCGCGCTGCGGCGAGGAAGAGCTCCTCCTCGCGCTGCGGTGTAAAACAGTTCCTCATGTTTCGTCTCGGTTTCTTATTCCCTCCCCCCCATCCTCTTCCTCCTCCTCCTCCTCCTCCTCATCATCAGCAGCAGCAGCATCATCATCATCATCATCCTTCTCATCATTATCCTCCTCATTCTCCTCCTCCTCCTCCGTTTCCTTCTCCTCCTCCTCGTCCGCCTCCTCCTCCTCCTCCTCCTCCTCCTCCTCCTCCTCCTCCTCCTCCTCCTCCTCCCTCAAGCAACACTGGCACGAGCGGTTGCAGGGAGGGCACAGGGCTCTCTTCGCATTTTGCGCGCTCCCACTCGGCCAGCCCCCGCGCCGTCCCGAGGTGCTTGGGGTCTGCCCCGCCTCCCACGCTGTGAGCGTAGGCGGTCGCGGCAGCAAAGCGGGGATGGCCTCCGCCCCTGCAGGGCGCCGTCTCTGGAGCACGTGCGTCGGGTGCCACACACATCAGTGGAATGACGTACGATTTCAGGAAGGACTAGTATGCAGGAAGTGCGGGGGGCCAGTAAACTTGTACAAGCCGAAGAGCAAGGGTGATGGTCAGTCGCCGCCCACCGATATCGCTCTCGTCCAGCCAGGCCCGAAGCACAAAGGCAAGGACAAGACAGGTGGGCAGCCAGCTGATCCTGGCGGAGGAGCTCTAGCCCTGCTCAGCCAGACCATCGCGGCTACCAGCGACCCGATGGTCAAGCGCGTCCTGGAGAGCCAGCAAGCGGTCCTCGCCTCGCAGAAGCCCGCGGGGACGCAGGTGACAGCGGACGAGGCGGTGCGCAAGGCATCAGGCGCGTGGAAGGACGCCGAGGCGAAGCACACTCAGGCAGCGGAGCAAGTACTTCGGTGCAGAGCAGCATTGGCAAAGGCCGAGGCACGCGAGACCGAGTGTGCTCGCATCTTGGCTCAGGCAGGGTTCAACAAACAGGTGGCCATTAACGCCCTCGCCAATGCCTCTGGCTTACAGGTTCAGGGGCATGGCGAGGGTAAGGTGGGTGAGGACACGGCTTCCAACGGCGAGTGCTTCCGCGTGGAGGTCGACGAGGCTTTCTTCGCGTCCATCAAGGAGCTGGAGTGCGAGGAGAGCGAGCAGAAGGAGTTCGCGGAGCTGGAGAAGCAGCTGCGCGAGGCGCAGCCCGCCATGGCTACGAGGTCGTCTGAGGTGAAGGACTGGGTCGCGCGGACCAAGGCCATGAAGGCGGCCATCCAGGACAGGACGCAGAAGAAGAGGAGGACGAGCGACGGCACCGCGGCAGGCGGCGCGGGCAGCGCTGGGCAGGCGGCGGCCGAGGGTAACGAGCCCGCGGCGACCGCGGGCGCGGCGCCGCCAACAGTCGGCGGCAGTGACGCCTCAGGCAGCAACGGCGGCCTCTCAGACGAGGCTCTGGCGGCCAGAGCCAAGCAGCTCAGCGACGCCAAGCTCGCGGGGACCGAAGCGGCGAGGCAGGTGGCGGCAGGGACTGCCGCTGCGGCCGCGTCGCGAAGTTCGATCGCGGCGCCTCGCCCTTCGGGCGGAGGCGCCGCGTCTGGCAGCTGCCTCAACTCGGGAGGCGGCTTTGCAGTGAGTACCGTCACGTCTTCGGCCTCTTCAACATCGGCGGCAGCGTCGACTACTGGTCAGTCCACGGGCGCGAATACGTCGCACGGGTGTGGCACAGTGTCAGCTGGCGCAGTGCATTCAGATGATGGCAGTGGCGCTGGAGATTGCAGTGCGCTCTTTTTCTCGAACTGTACTTGTCTGGGAAAGAAAGCATGGGGGCATATCCAGTCGCTGGTGTCGGACACGCCGGCTAATTCAATTGATTTTTTTGGGCTGGTTGGAACTCGCATCGGAGATTATTTGAGCAAGTCGTGGGCTACTAAATTCCGTTCACTTAAGCCCAGGCGCGTTTACAATCTGGCGAGAAGCACAGGTCTCGGCAACACTGAGGCCAAGCGCGGCCGCGCCAACGAAGGAGGTGAAGTTCTTCTGTATCGATAGCATCTCCAGGCGCATCGCTTCCCGATCTCAGCGGAGGATGTACCCGACTTATGCGCAGACGGTCATGCCGCATATGACGGAGTTTTGCTTGTGGTCGTGCATTTTCAGTCGTACTCGGTGGTGCTCGTGCTGGTATATGGACATCCCTCGATTGGTATGCGATCAGCCAATCACCAGCGGTTCCACCGACTCGGAGGATTTTTTCGAGCGCTACAGTTGCCATGGATATGCATTGGGGACTTCAACATGACCGCGGAGGTGCTGCAGAAGTCCAGTTTTCTTTGTGGGATCCACGGAAGGATTCGGCGGTCGGAGGCAGAGTTTACTTGTGCGACGGCCAAGGTTGCATCGCACATCGGTTACCTCATCACAGGCCCAGGAGCTGAGAGTTCCGTTGTCGACATACGCGCAGATCACAATGTCCCATGGGGGCCGCACTGTGGGCTACGTCTGAAGTTGAGGCACAGTTGCCAGCAGCTTTTGACACGATCGCTCATTGGCGCAAGCAAGCTTCCGCAGGTGAGTCGGCCTGGCACGCTGCCGACACCAGGCTCCAAGAGTGGTAGAGCGAAAGCCGATCGTTCGGGTAGAGCTGCCCTGGCCAAGGAAAAACTGGTCGACGAATCGCTCGAGCTCTTCGGCGATTTGTTTCAGGACCCCGATGGAGGCGTTGAGCGCGATAAATTTCCTGAGCATGTTGTTTCTGATGCCTTTGCCCCCGCCGAAGGCGAGGAGGAAGAGGACCCGTGGGCCGAGGGAACGTGTTTCAAGCCGGCGTTTGAGGAGGGTTAGGGGGTCGCGGAAGCCTCTGGAGCCTCCAGCTCCGCCAGTAGTTCCTCGGTGCCCGTTGACTCGCCCCCCGAATTCGGTGGTATTTTTTCTGAAGCACCTCCCAATCTGTCAGTGACCGCTGCCGACCCAGGTCCGCCCAATAGGAGTGACGAGTCTGCACCCGAGCCCCTTGCAGAGCCCCCCGGCAGCAGCAGCTTGACTGGTCCTAGTGTTCAGGTAGGGACTGCCTCTGATAACATGGGGCCTGGTGCTGTCGAATCGTCGCCCAGGAACCCTGGGTTCCAAGTGCCATCGGACTGTTGGCTTTTGGCTCAAACTCGCTTCGGGTCCAGTTTCATACCGTCCCAAAGCAATGAAGTTTACACGCACACATTGGTCTGCCATTCATGATTTGCTAGCGGTGCGAGTTGCGGGGCCGCATGTCACCGCGTGTCGGCGCTGCGCTGGATGGGTCTCCACCTTGGAAGCTACGATATCCAGTCATCACGGTCTACCGCCTAGTTCGGTTTGACGCGCTGCTGACCCACATCTTCGCGAGGAGCGCGCACAGCAGGCGGCCACCTTCCGCGAGGCTCCCTTACAAGACAAGGTGGCCCACTGGTGGTCGCGAGTTGTTCAGGTTCTGGTGAAAGTATCGAGGCATCGGGAAAGAGGTAATGGAGCCCGTCAACTGATATATCTTCGTGAGCTTGGCATCAGGCTCGGGGCCGATTACCGACCAACGATTGCGAGGACTGGGAGCATTGGGTGACCTTCTTGAGCAGTAATCTCCATTTCGCTGGGAGAAGTTTCGACGGCTTCCTGCAGGTAGCACAGCGCGCTGCGAAGCGTGCTGCTAGTAAAGCTCTTCGACATTCACTTTCAGAGCTTAAAGAACGGATTTCGTCTTCGGAAGCGTCTGGGGCGCCGCGCAAGAGCATCAAAGATCTGCCGACGGCTCAAGACGAACTATTTCACAATGGTAGTTACCTGTTCCATCCGAAGGATGTGATTGATGCCAAATCAACTAAGTGGCACGATCTTTGGTGTCACCCCCGAATTCAGCATCGACGAGATCTGCACCGCGCTTGCCAACGTGAGGGAGTGGGCTCGCATGCAGTTGCTAGCCCCCATTGACGGCGACGAGATAAGGTCGGCGGCTGCCCGCATGAAAGCTAAAGCAGGACTTGGAGTCGACCAACTGACGCCGTCGGATATTCAAAGATTGCCGCCAGAAGGTAACGAAGCTCTAGCAGGTATTCTCAATCTAGTTGAAGATGCGGGTACATGGCCGACTCAATTGCTGTGTGTTTTGGGGCGGCTTCTACCCAAGAAGGCAGGTGGGGACCGAATCATAGGGAGCGTTGCCGATCGTCTGCCGTTTGTACACCCTCGTTCGGGAGCCCCACACCAACTGCTGGTCTTTCGACACGGCCACGGAGTGGGGCGCGGCGGTAGCAGGCAATTCGGCGTTGCAGTGAGCCTTTTTGAAGGCAGTCGTTCAAGAGTTGTGCGTCAAACTTGGTGTTTCCAATGGGTGCGCATTGTTAGACCTCAAATCATTGTATGATATGATCAGGTGGAGCAACCTTTCTGACGCGGCTATTCGACTGGGGTTCCCTGGCGTTGCGTTGCTGCTGTTGGAAGTCCAACTCTGCATGGCGCCGATAATATTGGCGCAATGTGGGGCACATGCAGCACCTTTTCGGCCCACCAGGAGCATCATTCAAGGATTGAGGAATGGAGTGCGTATCGGGAGGCGCCTCACCCACTTCATCCTTGATAGGCTGCGCACGGCGAGAGTGGCATCCTCCCAGCGTGTATGGGTGGATGGCTTGTATATTGGGCATAAGGGTTCTCGAGCTGCAGTGCGCAAGTCTATCATTTCAGGAGTTGTTCTGGTTCGAGATCAGGTTGTTGGAGCTGGCATCCAGCTGGCACCTAAGCGCGTGACTCTTTGTGACACAATGAACGACATTAAGCACATGTCCAAAGTTCTGCTGCAAAAAAGGAATAGATATCCAAGCGGTTCTGCAGGTGAGTTATCTCGGAGTTGATCTGGGGGGGTGGGCGCAGAGTAGCACGGTCTTCTCGGCGGACTCGCACTCTCAACGCTACAGCCTGCAACCAGAAGCTGGGGCGCCATGCCTTCGCTTCCAAGAGCTATGAGACGACGAAGACGATTGAGTTTGCGGGGCCGCAAGCTGCTGCGACATACGCTCATCATGTTCACGGCACATTTGGGTGGCGTCTGCAGCAGCTTCGGAGGCAGTTAGGTGCGGTGTCAGGGGCGCATCAGAGAGGAAGGTGTCTTCAGACGCTACTTGATGTCCGCGCCCCGCATCAGGACCCAGGTGCGCGGCTACCGCAGCTATGTTTGAATCAGCGGTTACGGACATGGATTGATTACCCGCAGATTCGAGCAGGTGTTCGCAGAGTGTGGGACGATGTAGTCCAGCAGGTTCGCGGTCTTGATATCAATGAACGAAGCAGATCTATCCATGGTGGGCCAATTTCGGCAGTAGTTACGTATTTGGTGAATGCGGGGTGGGATCCCAAGTCGCCATCACATTGGTGCCGACCTGGCGAGTTCGGGCTGGAGCCAGTTGATTGGATCTTCCCCGGCAGCATCATCGACCAGCAGCATATTGACACGACCGACTTGCTGTGCGATTTTGGGCAGAGTTTAGATCACCAGCAGTGGCGAGAGGCAGCCTTGTTGCATCACGGGGCTGGTCTGGAGCTGGGAGCTGACAACGATTATCTTCGTCGTTTGCTCACCAGGCTCCGCGCAGGCCCACATGGTCATCAGCTGGCGGAGCTCATGCTGACGATCAGTACTGGGGGGTGTTGGACACGGTCAAGGAAGTTCGAGGCGGGGATCTGCAAGTCCAACTTGTGCCTGCGATGCAAGCAGGCGCCAGAGGACATGAAGCATCGTGCTTGGTTATGCAGTGCCAACAAGGACTCCGAGGCGCATTCCGACTCAGACAAGCTGGTGCCCGCTGCGCTGGCGCAAGGGGACAGCGATTCGTGTTTGTGGTATCGAGGCTCGGCCCCACGGCGCATGACTGCTGCCCCATCGGCAGCTAAGAGGATTGGACAGGTGTGGATCTGTTCCAGGACGCGGTCGGAGCTGAGTGTCTAGGGATTGGTTCTCTATCTCAACCTTTGCTCATTTTTGGTGATGCGTCGGGTGGTCCAGAAAGTCGGTTTCCTTCGCTGAGGAGAGTCGGCCTCGGCCTGGCAGTGATGACTGACCCGATCACCATGACCATCGGGCCCAATATAGCTGGGCCGCTCACATGACGAGTTCAATCTGTACCGCGAGGGGAGCTGCGGTGTTTGGAGCTCGCCATCAGGTGGTCAGCTGGCCCGACAGTGTACATTTCTGATAATGAGACTGTTGTGCGTGGATGATACGCTCAGCAGTATTTGAGTCCAGGCAAGAGTGAGATGAGTGGGCTGTGGGCGGAGATCGGGATCCTGGTTAAGCACAGGGGCCCCAGCGAGATCGTCGTGCTGCATGTCAACTCCCACCGGGCTGCCAAGGATGTGTGCGAGAAACAAACCCCCGAGTGGCTTCTTCGAGGTAGTGAAGTGGCTGGCGCCATCGCTTCGGGGGCTGCTGAGAGGTGTAGGTTGCCAGGCAGTGTTCGTTCTAGGATCGCTGAGGTGGAGGGGCGTGCTGCTTTGATCAGGCGGAGGCTCCTCAGGGCCACCCTCGAGGCTGCGGCCCCCGAGCGTGAGGATGCGAAGATTTCTGCGCTCGCTCCTGGTGGTCGTGCCCCGTCGGACCCTGCCCCGCCGCCGCCCTCCCCCGCGGTCCTGGCCAGGTTTCAGACCGCTCACACGCTTAGTGATTGTGGTTTTAAGTGTTCCACGTGCCGCAGCAGTGGCACGAAGGCCACCCTCCACGAGTTGTTAGACTCCCCTTGTGAACCCTTAGAGCACGTCGACTCTGTAGTCTCTAGGGGGCCAAGAAGGAAGCTACACTTAGCTGGGTGGTGGGCTCATGAATCTCATAGTATGTTGTTTCACCTGTCACTCGGGGTCTGGATCTGTGGGGCTTGCGGGTTTGTCTTTTCGGCCAACCTGCAAGCGGGGCTCAGGCGAGAGTGTCTTGGTTCTGGTTCCCTCAATGATACGAGGCGGCCCTACCTGGACCGATTTCATCGATGTGTTGTCCCCAAGCCTTTAAGCGCAGCTGAACGGGCTGCGCGGCGGAAGCCTGGGGGGTAGTTGCTCTCTTTCATTGACATCGTCATGGTGCTATCCCTATCCCTATCCCTCCTCCTCCTCCTCCTCCGTTTCCTTCTCCTCCTCTTCTCCCTCCTCCTCTTTCCTCTCCTCTCCCGCTGCAGCTGCTGTTGCTGCTGCGGTTGTTCCTTTTCCTCATGCTCCTTCTCCTTTTCTTCCTCCTCCTCATGCTGCTCCTCCTCCTCCTCGTCCTCCTCCTCCTCCTCGTCCTCCTCCTCCTCCTCTCCTCCTCCTCCTCCTCCTCCTCCTCCTCTTCCTCCTCCTCCTCCTCCTCTTCCTCACCCATCCAACCCTACTTTCCCTTCTCCCGCGCTGAAGATGTATAGCTGCCCCCCCGTCCGGAAAAGGCGCTCATCCGGCGCCCCGAGCAGCCGGGCGCCCCGCCCCGCGCCTCCCTGCTGTGCCCGCTGGAGGGCGGCGCCTCCGCCGCCGCCCCGCCCCAGGGCGCCGCAGGCTCGGTCGGGGTCGGACGAACAGGAGGGGGTGGGGGCAGACTGACAGGCTCACCGTGCTTTGGATTCCTCTCCCTCTCCGCCTCCTCCTCCTCTTCCTCCTCCTCCTCCTCCTCCTCTCCTCCTCCTCCTCCTTCTCCTCCTCCTCCTCCTCCTCCTCCTCCTCCTCCTCCTCCTCCCTCTCCTCCTCCTCCACATCTTTCTTCGCCTGCCTCACCTTCATGTTCATCCCCCTTGCTCCTCCGCCACCTCCCACTCCTCCTCCTCGACCTCCTCTCGCTGCAGCGTCGCGCAGTGGGAAGGGCTGGGTGGGAGGGGTGTGGTCGCGATTGCGCCCAGCTTGCCTCCCCTCCCCTGGGGGCAGACTGACTGGCCCACTGAGGGGCTTGGAACATATCCGTACCCCCGTGCTTTGTATTCCCTCATCTCGATGCCGACTTTCGGAATCATCTCTGAGTTTGCGGGCGCATCCCTGAGGCGGTTTTCGCCTTGTGGCTGGTCAATCGCAGGGATAGGGATATGTTCGAGGCTGGTTAAAGGCCACGGGCTGCGCATAGACCCTACCCCCAGGTGGTCCCTGCTGGCTTTAAGAGGCCTCCCGAGAAGCCCCAGCTGGCCTCAACAGGCCCCCCCCCCCCCCGTGGCAGTCCGGGGCGGTCTCGGCGCCGTGGCGCCGCCTGCGGCAGCGCCCTTGGGGCGTCTCGCGACCCAGGGTTGGGGTGTCGCGACCGCCTGGGTCCATTCGGCCACCCCGCTGAGGCCAGCTGGGATTACGCGTGGCCTGTTGAGGCCAGGTGGGGCTGCCTGAGGTTTTGTTTTGTGCGCCGCCCGCAGCCTTGCCAGCCCACACCTTTTTGTCGCAACGGAAATCAAGCCACGGCTGAAATGTTTCCCTGAAGTGGCCCCACCTGGCAGGCCCACCCAGTTGATCTCATTTACTTTGTAAAGTAGTTATCCCGGCACCATGTTCGAAGGAACATGTCGGAATTATTCTCGATGAGAGAACCATCGAAGTCCACTGCTCAGTCGGGAGAATGTTCGAGGGGAGTGCGCTCCTTTCCAATATCCGATCGTCGACAAACCGTCGGGTCCGCAGATGTGCCTTTCCCTTGTCAAATACCCTACGACGTACCCAACTGTTCTACATAAAGTGGCAGAACTAGTTGTCAACATTGCTACGGATGATGGCATGATAAATCACATGATTTATTGCGACAGTTGGATGCGAGGCTCGCGAGTTGGACGACTCACGGAAGAAAAAAGGATGGCATTGAGAACATGGCGACAATTATGCAGGTGGAGTTTTGCCAGCCCCTGCGCGAGGTATAGCCAGGATTTGCGTATAATGCCCATCCGCTCGACCCCCCTGGTGCCCACGAACAAATCAAACATTTCGCAGGTGGCGGCTTCCAAGGGAGCCGCAAGGTCTGCAGTGGATAAGCGTACGACACCACTCCTCTGGACCTCCATGGATCTCACGAGCGTGGCGACAGTTGCGCAGGTGACCCCCCCCTGGGGAGCCGCGAGGTCTAGTCAGGATGTGCGCAGGTCACGAATCCGCTGGACCTTCTAGGGGCCAACGAATGTGGCGACATTTACTCAGGTGGCGGCTCCCAAAGGAGCCGCGATGTACAGTCTGGGTGCGTGTAGGACACCATTCCGCTGTACCCCCGAGGTGCCCGCGAAAGTGGCGACAGGTGCGCAGGTGGCAGCTGTCCCAAGGGAGCTGCGATGTCTAGTCAGGATGCGCGTAGGGTAGCACCCCGCTGGATCTCCCAGGAGCCCACGGACGTGGCAGCAGCTCCGCAGGCGGCAGACACCAGGGAGACGCGAGGTCCAGTCTGGCCGCTCGACTGGACCTCCGAGTTCTCCAGGAACGTGGCAACAGCTGCCCAGGCGTCAGCCCCGCCCAGAGCCGCGAGGTCCAGTCAGGATGCGCGTAGGGCACCAAGCTGCTCGACGCCCCAGGTGCCCACGAAAGTGGCGACAGGTGCGCAGGTGGCAGCTTCCCAGGGAGCCGCGAGGCTAGTTTGGATGTGCGTAGGACACCGCTCTGCTGGGCTCCCCAGGATCCCACGGAAGGTGCGACAGGTGCGCAAGTGGCAGCCCCCAAGGGAGCCGCGAGGTATAGTCTGGACGTGCGTGGGGCAGCGCTCCGCTGGACCTCCCAGCGGCCCCACGAACGTGGCGGCAGTCCGCAGGCGGCAGACCCCCAGGGAGCCGCGAGGCCTAGCCTGGATGTGCGTAGGGCACCCCTCCGCTGGACCACCCGGATGCCCACGAAAGCGGCGACAGTTGCGCAGGTGGCAGCCCCCAATGGGGAGCCACGAGGTCCAGTCTGGATGCGCGTGGGACAACGCTTCGCTGGACCTCCCAGGAGCCGCTGCGCAAGTGGCCCCCGGGAGGCGCGGTGGGAGGCACGTGGGAGGTAAGAGGCAGGCAGGGGCAGCAGGATAGAGGCAGGATGAAGGAATGAGCTTGGAGCAAGCATGGCTCAAGTCAAAACACGGACCCAACCGAGGGGAGGGTTGAAGAACAGAGTGCTGAGCGTCTGGCGAAGAATCCGCTCGAGGGGCCGTGCAGGATTTTTGGGGGGAAGCGCTGCCAGGTTGCGCGCGCGCCGCGCTCCAGCCCCAGAGGACGGGCGGAGCGCGGAGACCCCTCCTGCTGCTGCTGCTGCTTCTCTTCCTCCTCCTCCTCCTCCTCCTCCTCCTCCTCCTCCTCCTCCTTCTGGGCGCCCCTGGGTGCTCTGGGGCCGCGGGCCCCGCGTGTCTTGCGAGGGAGCGTGGCCCGCGGAGCGCGGGCGCAGGGTGACTGACAGGGCAGCGTGGCAGTGAGCGCGGGTGCAGCGTAGTTCACAGGTGGTCGTGGCCCTTGGGCCATGGGCACAGTTCAGTTTGCCAGGGATCGTGGCGCTGGGATCGCTAATTTGGCGTAGTGTAACACTGATGGCGGCGCTGGGAGCGCGAATCGGCGTAGTTTGCAGGGCATCGTGACGCTGGGGGTTCGGACCCATCGTAGTTTACCAGGGACTGTGGCTCTTGGAGCGCGGATCCACTGGAGGAGACTCACAGGGCAGGGCGGGCCGTCCTTGGGCTCGTCCCCGGGCATGTGCTGCGACACGTCTCGCCACCCGCGGGGGCGCGGAGCTCATCGCGCGTGGCGCGTCGCGGTTCTCTGAGGGGGCGGCGCAAGAGCGCGATGGCGCGAACCGAGACATCCGATGGCTCTGATTTTCTCAAGACGGGGTCCCTGGAAGTCCCGGCCTTTTCCGCAGGGCCAGCTTCTCATCCCGACCTGTTTTTGGACGGCCCCGGGCGAGCCCCTGGGCGGCCGAACGTGGCAGAGCATGTTGCGTCGTGATCTCCTCGCCTCGCGTGCACGTCTGCCAAGCTGACCGCGCATCGCGGGGCGCGGGGCGCGAACGTGGTGACCTGGCTGACCAAGCACCCCTGCTTTGGACGCCCCGCGGGCAGGCGCCGAGCTGGTGCTGCCGGCGCCCGCCGAGCCGAGGATCTTCGACTTCAGCGTGCCCGGGCACCGGGGAGGGGCCTCGACCTGTGGAGGAGGATCAATGGAGAGGAAGCGTGTTGCCAAATCATTTCCAGATGTCGAGAACATGTGTTAAACTTTGTGTAAACATAAAAAGCAGGCTTGAAACATGTTTGGGCCATTTCCCCGACGTGTTGAGCACATGTTTAATTCGAGGATCGGACTGTTAGAGTGTCCCTTGTCATGGCATCCACGAGCCTCGAGCCTCGAGCCTCGAGCCTCGATTCCCGTTCGCGCTGGGCGTCTTTAGGGGGCCAAATGCGAACCCTACCCCTACCCCCCACGATTTCTGAGGGGGAGGCTGGGGCAGGGTTCGCATGTGGCCCCCTAGTCTTCTTCACCCAGCCTCGGGCCCCGGGGTCACCACAGATCGATGCGGCTCGGAAGCTCAAGCAGTGGCGAGGCGTCCCGGCTCGCCTGCGGCCCCACCGCAGGATGTTCTGAGAGCCTTTCGTGGTTTCCACGGCATGTTCTTCGACCGTTTCCTGGCTGGGACTGTCTTGGCTCAACACATCGGGTTCATGTTCTAAGAGCACCGGTTTTGCTCTTAGAGCATGCTTGGGGTTCCAGGAACATGTTCGTGGTAGGGCTATTAGGAATGCCGGGACGGTCGGTCCCTGCTCCAGAAGTGGGCCCCACGTGCTCCAGTCGAGTTGCTCTGTTACGACGCTGCAGTTCTCTTCGAGCTCCGACCCTCCACGGGGCTCCCGCGGGCTCGAGGCTCGAAGCTGTCCTTCGCGGACGCTTTCGGCTGTCCTCGGCGGTTTTCCCAGAGCCACAGGGGCGCCTTCCAGCGGCCGTGCTTCGCCGAGAGCGCACTGCGGGGGGTGCCCCGAAGCGTCCCGGACGGCCGCCGGAGCGCCGAGCCACGAGCCGAGAGCTCGAGCACAGGGGATCGACAACAGAATGCATGTCCTCCTCCTCCTCCTCCTCCTTCTCCTCCTCCTCCTCCTCCTCCTCCTCGTCCTTCTCCTCCCCCCCCCCTCTCGGCGGTGGACAAACCTCCCTTTAGTAAACCTCCCTTTTGGGAAACCGACCTAGGACCGAAACCGACGGACTCAGACCCGCCAAAAATGACGGCCGCGACGCCCTCTCGCGAAGCGAAAACGGCCAATTCACTAATCGACGTGTCAGGGTAGGAGGTCTATCCACCTCCGATGTTCGTCGAATCTGCACACATCTGGTCACATGCTCCGCAGATCTACCGAGCATCCTGCGCATGCTTGTCGCGGAGTCGGTGGGGATAACACTATCGGATTTGGGGCAAGTCAATTCTGTGTTCGACCCCCTGCAGCCGGAGCCGATGATAGGGATGGTCAATTTCCTCGAGGGTACCCTGACATCCTTGCCTCCTCGGTCCCTCCTGAACCGCTTTCGATGGCCAGTCCCGCTCGTCGAGCTTTCGCATGGGCGTCCAAGGGTCTTGCATCCGTATCGCGCATCCTTACTATCAGTTTCGACTGTATTCCCCTCCACCTCCGCCTTCCATACCTTCCGACCCTCCGCGGAATGTGCGGAAGAATCCATCGAAACCTAGGGAAACTTTGCGCACATCCAAGGACACCCACGTGGATCAGTATCGAAAACGAGGCGGAACGGTTGGGGCGGCAGGTCCTGAAGAAATCACTCCAGAGAAAAACCCCAATCAGTGGATGGTTTTCGCTGGGGAGATCGACCGGGAACCCGGGAGCCTAGCAGGAACCCAGAACCCACCGAAATCGGCCCGGAACCAATATCCGGAAACCCGAGAACCCGGAACCCGGGAACCCAGCCGGCTACCAAAATCGGCGGGAAATCCTCGCCAAATCTTTCCATTTCCGCTATATGCCAGCACTGATTGGGAAAAAGAGAGGGGGAGGGTCGAAAAGCCACGGGGCAGCAGCTCCTGACGAACCAACAACACACACACCCATATCCATAAGGGGGGTCGGAGAGGGCTATGGGTGCGTGTTGTCGGATGGGGGTCCCCGCTCGGACGGGAGCCTTCCCCAGGGTCCGACGACCCGCGCCCATACCCATAGCCAGTCCTCCTCCCAACGACCCCCCTGTGGGTGTGGGTGTGTGTTGTTCGTTCGTCAGCTCCGGTGGCTGCTGGTGGTCTGCTCGCGCTCCGCATGGGCCTCCCGGGGAGGCTCCGGGCCGCGGCGGGCCTCGAGGCTCGCCCCGGGCATGTCTGCCAGGACAGAGCGCCCCGCCTGGCCAGAGGAGCGACGGGTTCGGCGCGTGCCCACTGCTCGATGACGTTCTGAGATTGCACGCTTCGGTCGGGCCTGTCCCCCTACAGGGGGATTGTTGACGAAAAAAATACCCCCAACGTGATCAAAAAAAATAATCAAACCTAGTCAGGGGATTCTTTTTTTCGAGTATTTTTTACCTTTTTGAAGTATTTTTGTGGTATCTTTTATTTTTCGTCGGAAATCCCCCTGTAGGGGGACAGGCCCGACCTAATTGTACGCCTTTCTTCGGAAGCTGGAGCATATGCATTACCAGTGGCGGGCTGTTGTTCCATCCCAGGAAGTTTTGAGGGTCGGGGACGACGTCGGGGTGGTGTGGTGTGTACTTGATTTTCCCCGTTGTCCCGTGGAAACAACCAAAAATGTAGACACCAGGGTGCCATATACACCAGAATCAGTTTTCTTTTGCGAATCTCAGTGCGGGACCGGAAAACAGCATCGGTGCATAAAGTTCTGTTCCTTATTTCTGTGCCTCGCCTGGCGGCACAGCTGCGGTGATGGAGGTGGAGGTGCTATGTTCTCTCCTCGTTCCACCATCTCATGCCGCCTCTGTTGCTGCGGGCGCGGGGGGGGGGGGGGCGGGCGGCGGATTTCCGCCGCCCGCTGGCGCTTCGAGCCGTCGCCCCCGTGGCATGACCAAGAAAAGCTTTGGCTCGTGTCGGGGATTCTCGGCCACTGATACTATGTGTGCGTCGCCCCCCCCCCCCCAGGGGCGACGCGCGCGCCGAGAAATCTTATAGGATAAGCTCCGTGGCGGGCGCTTTTTGGCCGTACCGATCGGGAAACGAAATACTACAGGATGGTTGTACTACATGTTCGGGTCGGACACACGCCTCCGAGGAGGACTCGTAGTACCAGTATGTTCTCGTGCGTCCCATAAATCGGCCACGCGCAGAAGGGGGGGGGGGTAGGGGGAGTGGGAAAGCCTTATCAGAAGCTGGGCCTCATCTATAGATGTGAGGCCGGCACCCTCTGAGAAGCAGTCTTCTTCTCAGAATATTCCTCCCTCCCCCTGTCCCCATGTTCGCGCCGCCCAATCAACTCTCGGAAGCAAATCACTGAAGCCTGGTATACCCACATTACTCCGTCTTTAGAGGGCACTAGTATCGATGAGCGTCGGGTAGTCGATGGGATAGCCGCGAGTTAGCGTCGATTAGCGTCGATGAGGAGGAGGAGGAGGAGGAGGAGGAGGAGCAGGAGGAGGAGGAGGAGGAGGCGGAGGAGGAGGAGGAGGAGAGGAGGAGGAGGAAAGGGGAAAGGAGGAAGAGGAGGAGGAGGCGGAGAAGGAGGAGGATGAGGAGAGGAGGAGAGGAGGAGGAGGAGGAGGAGGAGGAGGAGGAGAGGAGGAGGAGGAGAGAGGAGGAGGAGGAAAGGGGAAAGGAGGAAGAGGAGGAGGAGGCGGCGGAGGAGGAGGAGGAGGAGGAGGAGGAGGAGGACGAGGGTGAGGAGGAGGAGGAGGAGGAGGAGGAGGAGGAAAAGGATGGGGAGGAGGGGAACGAGGGGGAAGAGGGGGCGGAGGGCCAGCACCTTTCCTGGAGACGCCACGGGGTTGGTTCTGGACATCTGGGCACGGACCTCCTCGCGTCGTGACCATCTCGCTGCGGAAGGTTTGAGGTACACATGGTTCATTTCCAATCTCCCGAGAGTTCTTTCAATTTTTTGGGGGGCCATGATCTTTTCACTTCTACTTCTTATGTCCTGGGCCTCTTCCTGGCCACCCAGGGGGCCAGGAACAATTCGAAACGAGAAAAAAATTAGAACGGAGCACGATCAGAAATATGAACGACGGGCACTTTTCCCTCCCCGGGGCCTGCACGCCCACGGCGATTTTCGTGGCCTGCATCAGAGCGTGAATGACCTACCCCGCTTTCGCTCCTCCTCCTCCTCCTCCTCCTCCTCCTCCTCCTCCTCCTCTTCCTCCTCCCCCTCCTCCCCCTCCTCCGAGAAGCGAGCCTCAGAGGAGGAATGGGTACCCCTGCCCCTCCCCTCCCATCGTTTTCCCCTTTTTGGGCCTCCTGGGCCTCCGTCGTCGCCCGCCCGTTTTCTCCATTTTGGGCCTCCTTGGAGGCCCTCGTCGCCACCGCTGGATCCGCCTCGAAATCCTGGTCAGAGCGCGCCCCGGGAGAGGTCCAGAGAGTAGCGGTGTCAGTACCTTTTGGTTTCCTCAGAGCCGGGGTGCACCGGCCTTGGCGCGAGCACAGACGCGACTCGCCACCGGTTCTTGCGGGTCCACGTTGCGTGATCAAAACTGAGACGTCGCGGGTCTGGGTCGAGCGCTCCAAACATTGGCCTCGCCTTCGAGGAGTCGGGAGATTGGCTCATCTTCCTCGGCGGAAGAGCGCCGCCAGTGGTTCCGAATCGGCAGATGTCGAACGATATGCGGTATCGGGCAGCCACGATTGCGCAACGCTGAACCATCCACGCGGCGTCAGAAGCCAGTGCCGACGCCATCGCGACGTGAACCTGCCGTAAGAGGCCTGGCTTCTCGGGACACGTCAAGTTGCATCTACACCGGGTGCCATGGCCGATAAGTCGACTCGGTGTGTGCATCGAGCCCCTCCGAGGCACGCGGAGTTCCTGGCGTTGGCCCCGGCGCTGCAGGCGCAGGGCAAGAGCGAGAGAGAGATCCTCGAAGAGTTGAACAAGGCCGCGTGGCTGGAAATTCTCCTTCCCCGGCCTTGGGGGCCTAGACGAACACAGGTCTCGCGACAGGGTGCCTCCGTAAAGTGGTGCGGGGAACGGGGGCGGTGTAAGCGGATCTTCGGTGCTGAAAGGCCCAAGGCTGTCCACGACTCGATCGATTCGATGATGTGTTCCGACGTCTGCACGTGGCAATGACCGGCTCGACTCCGCACCCTCGAAGGCGGTTCCTTATCTGCCCGAAATGTCCACCGTAAAATTCGTACCCACCGCTGTGGAGTCTTGCCCCATGATCTCGAGCATCGGCGGATGTGGATGTTTGCGCGCCAGGCGCGGGCGGGCAGGCGTCCATACCCATTTCTCCTTGGATCGGGGACCAGGCTCAGACTTTGTGGATATGTTGCTCCCAGAAAGGGCCTAGGCCCAGGGCCCAGGGTTTTCTTCTAGTCTGTAGAGTTGTCCCCCAGAGCCATTTCGAAGGAGCAAACGCGTCTTGTGCGTGCCCGCACGAGGACGCTGCGCCCATCATATCGGATCCTCTAAAACGGAGTCCGCAGACCCTTGCTTTCCGCAAAATCCTCCGTACGTGTGTGCCGAAGTATATCCGTGTATCTACCTACATATATATATATATATAGATATGTGCATAGATATGTATCTAGATTTTCTTCTGGAATGGGGCTGTGCCCAGGGTTATCTTTCTGTGGCCAAGGTCATCGTTTAGTGATGGTTAATATCAAGATGCGGACGACAGGGACGACCAGATTCATGACGCAATAGACGACAGCACACTCTAACACAGTACGAAGACAGCAGTTCAGCATGGCACAACGCAGCGCAGGACAGCACAGCCCTTGGCACGGGGTTGTCACCATGGATATTCTCAGAATGGCCATCACCCGTTGCCTATGTACCTGAACGGGTTCGTGGATCGACCATGTTTCACAGAATAGGTGAAACAATATTGATGTTGTGCGTGCCCGCTCCAGGATGGCACGCCCCGCGCTCAGAATCTTCGACGGATACCTGAGTGCGGAGACGGAGACCCCATAAGGCACCGGAATCCCCTCGGCGCCTCTGGATGCCCTGGGAGTGTGGGCCCTGCGTAATTTACAAGCGATCGTGGTGTGGGTGCGCGGACGCAGCGTAATTTAGGGGGGCCCGTGGCCTTAGGAGCACGGACGCGGAACATGTACAAGGGAGCGTGGCATTGGGATCGCGAGCCAGCGTGATTGATTCCGGATTGCGGCGTTGGGAGCGCGGAGGAAGCGTAATTTTAAAGGCATCGTAGTGTTGGGAGTTCGGACCCATCGTAATTTACCAGGGTTCGTGGCTCCCGGAGCGAGGACCCATTGAAATTGACCAGGGACCGTGGCCCTGGGAGTTCGGATCCAGAGTCAGTTTCAAGGCATCGTAGCTCTTGGAGCGCGGATCCAGTGAAATAAATGTACGAGGACCCAGCCGAGGAATGGTTGGGAAAAAATCGGTACGGGTCGTTCTGCGCGAACTCCTCGCGACGGGCGTGCTGAAATTGAAAGGAACGTCACCCAAACATGTGAACAACAAGACGCCGTGCGTGCCTTCTTCTTGAGGCTGTCGCGCCCCGCGCGTTCAAACTTCTGGACTGCTGATAACAAGGTCCGGAGACCTCAAAAGGCACAGGACGCCTCTCGGCGCCTATCGGTGAGGATCGTGGTTTTGGGAGTGCGGACGCAGCGTATTGTGGCAATGGGAGCGCAGATGCCGAGTAATCTGCAAGGGGTCGCGGCCCTAGGAGCGCGGACGGATCGTATGTTTCGAGTGGGCATGGCCTTTGGAGCACGGACGCCATGAAAGTTACGAGGGATCGTGGCATCGGGATCGCGAGCCGACTGTAATGTAATACGGACTGCGGCGCTGGGAGCTCGGATCAAGCGTGGCTTGAAAAGGCTTCGGGGCCCTGGGAGTTCGGACCCGTCGTGATTTACGTGCCAGGGACCGTGACTCTTGGAGCGCAGGCCCCGTGAAAGTGACGAGGGGTCGTGGCCCTGGGAGCGCGGATCCGCCCGAGAAGTCTTACAGAGCAAGGCGGGTCGCCGCTTGGCTTGCCCCCCTGGCGCGTTCTGTGGAACGTCCCCTTGCGCGTCCCTTGGCGCATCCTCGGGTTGCGCGTCTCCTGGCACGTCTGCGGCGCCTCCCCTAGTACGTACCGTGGCGCATCTCCTGGCACCTCCCTTGTCACGTTCCTTGGCGTGTCAACTCGCGCTCACATTGGCACGTCACGTCCCCTGGCGCATCCACTGCCACGTCCCCGCGCACCTCCACTTGCGCGTCCCGTGGCACGTGTCTTGCCTTGTCGTCTGGCGTGTTTCCTGGCTCATCCTCTGCAGCTTCCGCTGCCCGCTCCGTGGCGCGTCCCCTGCCAGGTCCCCTAGCGCGTCCCTTGGGACGCTGCCCGGCATGACGTCCCCTGGCACGCTCCGTAGCACGTCACGAGGCAGGCCCCCGGCACGTCTATGGTCTATGGCACATCTTCTCACACGTCTCCTGGCACGTCCCTGGCTCCTTCCTTGGTGCGCCCCTCACACATCCCGTGGCGCGTCCACGCGCCCTGCGCCCACTGGCGGTGTGTCCCACTTCGAAACTACATGGGACCCTGAGCTCGAGCTGGTTAAGCGCCCCGCCCCTTTCGACGACAACCAACTCTGGGAAGACCAGTGAGTCGGGCAGCTCGAGCGAAAGATCCAGATCGGTTCGGTCAAGATGCAGATGCCAAAGACGAGCGGATCCACAACACAAAAGAGCACAGCACAGTTCAACACAGTATAACAGAGCACAGCTCAGCACGGCACGCTACAGCATGACACAGCGCATACTGACACAGCCCTTAGCACGGTCTCATCACGGTGGATATCCTCAGCATTGTCACCGCCACTTGCCCAAGTTTGGGCAGCTCTCTCTCTCTCTCTCTCTATATATATATGTATATACTTATATATATATATATGTATATATGTATCCCTTTCATCCCTTTCCAGAGCTCGCGGGTCGAGCAGGCTTTTGTTTATACTTTCTCTTCTAGCGGTGCTGGGTGGAGTTCGATCTCACGCCGGCTCGATGATGCAAGCGACGCGCTCGAGACGCCATCCGGGGCGGCTTTCGGAAGGCTGCGATGCAGGCGGGGGGGGGTGGCGGCTGAGCCAACGGCGGCTCCTCCGCCCGATCCAGCTGCGCTCCCCTGGCCCTCCTCCTCCTCTTCCTCCTCCTCGTTCTCCGTGCCGCCGCTGTCCCGAGGGGGGGCCCACTTTGCGGAGCTGCAGCGCAGGGGGGTTGTCCCATGGGCCAGGGGGGACGCTCCGCGGGCCTCTCCGCGAGGCGCAGCGCGAGAAGTGGATGCGGGCGAAGAGCCAGGCGGGCCCCGGCGCCGGCAGAGCGAGGCCGAGGGCGACAGGCTCGGGGCGGACGAAAGCGAGGGCCTGGGAAGAAGTGCTGGGGCGGGGCCCCTCATTCTGCCAGACCCTCCGCCCCTCGCCCGCCGCGCCTCGTCCTCTACGACGGGGGTCCCTGGGTCCACGTCGGGCTTCCATGAGCTCGGAGGACATGCTTCGGGCCTCCGGGAAGGTCCGGGGTACGGAAGGTGGAGGTCGGGGGTGGAGGCGAACGCTCCCCGTCGCACAAGCAAGCACGACGGGGGCCTCTGGCTCTCGGCGGCCTCCCTCGGGGGGGACGGGACAGGCGGGGGCGGGGGGTGGGCGGGGGGGGGGGCGCGGCCGGACGGACGGACGGTCGGGGAGAGCGAAGAGGTGTGAGGCGGGGAGGCGTGGCGCGGTCGGACGGGCAGTCGATCAGAAGAAAGGGAAGGGTGGACGGGCGCAGGTCGTCCGTCGTGATCGTTGTCGTCGTTCGTCGTCGTTCGTCGGCGTCGGCGTCGGCGGTCGGGCGCGCTTCGTCGTCCTCGCCCTCGTCGTCGTTGTCGCCCCTCGCAGGGAGGAGGTGGAGGAGGAGGAGGAGAAGGTGGAGGAGGAGGAGGAGGTGGAGGAGGAGGAGGAGGAGGAGGAGGAGGTGGAGGAGGAGGAGGAGGAGGATGAGGTGGAGGAGGAGGAGGAGGAGGAGGAGGAGGAGGAGGAGGAGGATGCATCAGGGCTGGACCTGAACGGTATTCGGGCGATCTCGTGGGCCGTCTTTCGTTTCGACCTCGTGTTGCGGTATGGGCGGATTGGAGACAAAGCGAAGGAAAACGAAAGCAAAACGAAAGCAAAAAAAACACCGTCTCGGTTCGGCCCTGGTGCGCATGCTCTCTCGGCGGGGATCGTTGAGGAGCACCCTGGATCGATGCCGCGAACAACACGCGCGCGACACCGAAAGCTGCGCGGGGAATGGACGTCCGAGCGATGGCGAGAAAGACGGGGAGGGGAGATGCGCGCGGCCGGGCGGGCGGGGCAGGCCCGCGCGCGGGGGGCGGAAGCGGGCGGAAGCGGGCGCTGGCCTGGGCCTCTGCTCCTTGGCCGGCGGGCGCAGGCCGGGGGAGGGGTGGCGCGCGAGGCGGGGGGATCCCGGTCAGGGGCAACGATACAGTCGGGGCGTTGACCTAAGGGACCCTAAATGAGGAACGAGGCCCCTTTTTCCCATAAGTGAAACTTCGATTTCCGATCGAAAACATAAAAGGGAAACCTGAGGCAAGCTGTGAAACACTTCAGGAACGCGGAGCCCCTCCCCAACCAAAAGGGTTCCTTCTTCAGGGCCCCGACTGTAGGCCCCAGAGGTCCCGGAGGTCCCGATCCCTTCCCGGGGGCTGGTTTGTGGCCCCGGCTCCCAGATCCATTTGTGATGGCCCCGCGGGCCCCGAGAACGGGGCCCAGGAGCCGCCATCCGGGACCATTGCCAGGATTGAAAAAAACAGATCGCCGAGAATTTGAGCCCGCCCTGGAAGTCGTTTGAGAGTTTTTCTTCAGGCCCCAGCCAGTTCACTTGCAAGGCAATCGGGCATCAACACGTTACGGGGGTTGGGCTCAGGGGGGGGGGCGAATCGACCCCAATCGCCCACTGATCGCCGGCAAGGGGCCGATAGCCCACCCCGCCCAGGACCATGCGAATTCGCTATTGGGGGGCCTATCGCCGATCTATCGGCGTGTATCGCCGATTCTAGGTCGCTGGTTCCCCCCCAATTGAGCTGGTTCCCCCCCCTTCGCTGCCCCTCGTGCGAGGCCGACGAAGTAAGGAGCCTGTTAGCGAAAGGCGGCACGCAGCTGGCAGAATGTCAGCTTGCACTATGGAGTCTGCACGGGCGCCAGGGCAGGGGTTCCAAGGGCTGGAACGGAACAACACAATGCACCGCGCCACGACACGAGGACGGGGCGCGGTCGGGTGGTGGGTCGGTCGGAGTTCGAGGAACAGCGACGGGTGGATCGGCGACGGGTCTGGTTGCTGTGCGACCTTTTGGCGCGCTCCGAGGCCAATCCAGGCGGTATGAGCCTCGCGTTTCGGGGGTGCTTGCTACCAGCCGTGGATCTGCCGCTCACTCCTCCTCCCTCCTCCCTTCCCCTGCCTTCTCCTCCTGCCTCCTCTCTGATCCATTCCCTGTCTCCTCCTCCTCCTCCTCCTCCTGACCCCCTTCTCCTCACCCCTCGCTCCTCCCCCAGCCTCCTCCTCCTGCTTCCTCCTCCCGCCTCCCTTCCCCTGTCTCCTGTCTACTCTTGCGCTGGATCCACGGATCTCTGCTCCAGGTTGGCATGTGCTCGAGATGGCGGGGGCGGTGGGGAGCAAGGGCGGGGGCGCAGGGAGGGCGTGGGCCGGGCTTCCAAATGAGAGGGGGGCTTCTTGGAAGAGATGACCCGGTGGATAGGTCTCGGGGAGGAAGGGGGCCTCGGAACAAGCGCCGAAGAGTAAGGAAGGAGAGGGGCCGACGGCTGGTCGAAATGGCGCAGCGCGCGAAATCGCACCTGCGGGTGTGGTGAGCAGCTGCGCCACGTGGGTTGCCCACAGCGTGCCTGACAACCTATATAAACATACGTATATCAAGCATTCGTGCTTCAGGTGAGGCCCAATATATAGGAGCATACGTAGAACACCTGGGACTGGAGCCACTCCTGTTGCCTTCTGAGGCCTCCTGCTCCTGGAGCCTCTCGGGGCCTCCTGTTGCCTTCCGAGGCCTCCTGGCGCTTCCTGTGGCCTCCTGGGGCCTCCTGTGGCTTCCTGAGGCCTCCTGGAGCTTCCTGGGGCCTCCTGGAGCCTCTTGGGACATCCTGTGGCCTCTTGAGTCTTTCTGTGGCCTCCTGATGCCTCCTGGGACCTCATGTGGCCTCCTGGGGCCTCCTGGGACCTCATGTGGACTCCTGGGGCCTCCTGGAGCCTGTTGGAGCGTCCTGTGGCATCCTGAGGAGAATATGTGCCCACGAGTCTGGCCACCCAAACAGGCAAACCGATCGAGACATCCTCAAAAGCTGGCCCACCTGGGGAGTGAAAATGAGCGGCTCGCTCGAGACATCCTCCAAATCTGTTCCGAAAGCGAAAGATGTTGATACAGAAAACAGGCAAATCGCCTGAGACATCCCACAAAATTGCTGCGAACGGGACCTTGAAAACACCCCTGGCGGCTCCCCTTGGGGGTGCTGAAACCAGCGCCCCGCCTGAGACATCCTCAGAATCTGCTCTGATAGCCAAGGATGCGGAAACAGAAAACAGGCAAACTGTCTAAGACATCCCTACAAAATTGCTGCGAACGCGACCGTGAAAACACCCCTTGGCGGCTCCCTTTGGGGATGTTGAAGCCAGCGCCCCGCCTGAGACATCCCCGCCTGAGACAGAAAACAGGCAAACCGCCTGAGACATCCCCACAAAATTGCTGCGAACAGGACCGTGAAAACACCCCTAGCAGCTCCCCTTGGAGGTGCTGAAACCAGCGCCCCGCATGAGACATCTTGACAATCTGCTGTGTGTTGAGAAGTCAGACAATGAGAAGGTCTGAGTATGAGTAGGTCTGAGTAAGAGCAAGTCTGTGTAGGAGTACGTCTGGGAACGAGTCTGAGTATGAGTAAGTCTGGATATGAGTGAGTCTCAGCATGAGTAAGTCCGAGTGTGAGTGAGTCTAAGTATGAGTAGGTCTGAGCATTAGTAAGTTTGTGTATGGGCAAGTCTGGGTATGAGTATATCTGAGCATGAGTAATTCCAAGTGGGAGGAAACGAGCTGTACCGCAAATAATGTACACGAGTACGAGTGGGAGTGGGTATGACTATGACTGGGTATGGCTTTGGGTGCGTGTGAGCTTACTGTGTCATGAAGAAGTCTGAGTATGATTAGGTCTGGGTGCGAGTAAGCCGGTGTATGAGTAAGTCTGGGTATGAGGAGGAGGAGGAGGAGGAGGAGGAGGAGGAGAAGGAGGAGGAGGCGTCCAAGTAGCAACAAGAACCCCATCCCAGGATATGGGGAACAAAAAAAACAGGCTCCCTCCTCACGCGGTGTGCCACGCCGGCGGCCAGCGACAGTCCCAGCACACGTGGGGCCGCTGTGCCCTCTCGCGCAGAAGGACCCGCCCGTCCCCGCCGCTCAGCTGGGCCTCCTCGGAGAACCGGGTGCCTCCTGGAGAACCGGGCGCAGCCGATCTCCAGCACGGGCGGCGCTCGGAAGAGAACGGCTCGACGCTGGCCTCTCACACGGCACAGCGCACGTGGGGCGCTGGGGCGCGCATCGCGCCGCCTGCCAGCGGGCTGTGATGGGCCTCTTTCATGAGGCCCCGTCCCCCAAGCCGATTTTGGCAACGATTTTGTAAATCCCCCGCCAGATGTTTTTTGTATTTTCTGTTTTTGTTGTTGAGATTTTTTCATCAGCTGCTGTCACGTTGCCGACGTGCACCCCAAGTTGGGCATCTGCGTTGCGCGCTGTGCCGCGTGCGCGGTGCAGCGCGGGTTGTGCCGTTCGCGCGGCGCCCCGCGGTCGGCGCCGAGGTTGTGGCGTTTCCTCGCGGCGCCGCACGCGAGGTGCCGCGAACGCACCGCCGCTTCTGCAGCCGACGTTGAATTTGTGATGTAGTGTGTCTGGAGTTGCGGGCGCGGTGTTGCGCGGTGCTTCTTTCGCGTGCGCGTGCGTGCCGTGCGCGCGGTGCACAGTTCGATGCGCGTCGTGCTGCGTGCCGGCGCGGTACCGTGCAAATAGCGCCACGTACGTGCTCGGCCTCAGCCTGCGTCAGCCTCAGCCTCAGCCCGCCTCAGCCTCAGCCCCAGCTTCAGCCTCAGCCTCAGCCTCAGCCTCAGCCTCAGCCTCAGCCTCAGCCTCAGCTTCAGCCTGCCTCGGCGCGCCTCAGCCTCAGCCTCAGCCTGCCTCGGCCTCAGCCTGCCTCGGCCTCAGCATGCCTCTGCCTCCCCCCCCCCCCCCTCCCCCATTCCCCCCCCCATTCAGCCTCATCTTGTCTCAGCTTCGGCTTGCCTCGGCCTCATCCTGAGCCTCACCCTCAGTCTCAGCCTCAGCCTGTCTCGGCCTGAACCTGCCTCGGCCTCAGCCTCAGCCTGCCTCGTCCTCCGCCTGCGTCAGCCTCAGCCTCAGCCTCAGCCTCAGCCTGCCTCAGCCTCAGCCTCAGCCTGCCTCGGCGTGCCTCAGCTTCAGCCTCAGCCTGCCTCGGCCTCAGCCTGCCTCGGCCTAGCCTGCCTCAGCTCGGGCATTGGAAATATGGCACAGGACTTGTCTTCAGGGAGCACGAAGATCACGAAGTGGCCCACAGTTGGCTCCGGGCAATCAAAATATGGTGCAGGAGTGGTGTTCTGGGAACACGAAGAACACGAAGTGGCCTACAGTTGGCTTTGGGCATTCAAAATTAACGTGGGAATGGTGTTCTGGGAAAGCGAAGAATACGAAGTGGCCTACAGTTGGCTCCGGGCGTTCAAAATGTTGCCTGGGAGATGTGTTCTGGGAGCACGAAGAACACGAAGTGGCGGGCATTCAAAATGTGGCCTGGGAGTGCTGTTCTGTTGGCTCCGGGCAGTCAAAATGTGGCCCCTGGCAATGAAAATTGGGAGTCCCCGGATTCCCGCGGCACCGGTCCGGCATCTGCCCAGACCCCCCTGGGGAGTCTTGATTTTTTTGAGCCCACTAGAAATCTATCAGTCTTCGCGGCCAGGTAATTTCGTTGTTGAGTCAGAGGGGCAGCGCTCGCCTGCCCGCGAGGGGGCCATTGTGGATTCAACCCCCCGTGAGAAAGCACGCAGGGCCCCCTTCGGCCATGCTCGAGCCGTCGAACGGATGGGGGGCGCATCGGGGGCCACGAGTGCGCGCGGGAGTGCGTGTGGGAGCGCTGGACGCGCGCGTCGCCCAACGACCGCAGGGTGAAGTGTCGCCGCGGCGGAGAGACCCACGGCGGCCACATGGCGTCTTGGATTCGGGCCCGCCTTGGTCGCGCCTTCGCAGCCTGCGCGGCGCGTTTCAGCAGCAAGAGGAGGCGGCGCGCGACAATGCGATAACGCTCGGGCGGCCCACGATGCCATCCCAATGCCAAGCTTCAGGACGTCGACATGATGAAAAATTCACAATTTCAAAATCGTTGCGGCTCCTTGGGGGGAGGCGGCCTCGCAACCTCTTGTCCACCCCCACCACCAGAAGTTGGAGAGGGGAAGGAGGAGGCGGAGGAGGAGGAGGAGGAGGAGGCGGAGGAGGACGAGGAGGAGGAGGCGGAGGAGAAGGAGGCAGGAGGAGGAGGAGAGGAGGAGGAGGAGGAGAGGAGGAGGGAGGGAGGGAGGGAGGAGAGGGAGGGAGGGAGGGAGGGGAGGGAGGAGGAGGAGGAGGAGGAGGAGGAGGAGGAGGAGGAGGAGGAGGAGGAGGAGGAGGAGGAGGAGGCGGAGGAGGAGGAGGCGGAGGAGGACGAGGAGGAGGAGGAGGCGGAGGAAAGGAGGAGGAGGAGGAGGAGGAGGAGGGAGGGGAGGGGAGGGAGGGGAGGGGAGGGGAGGGGAGGGGAGGGGAGGGGAGGGGAGGGGAGGGGAGGGGAGGGGAGGGGAGGGGAGGAGAGGGGGAGGGGAGGAGGGAGGAGGAGGAGGAGGAGGAGGAGGAGGAGGAGGAGGAGGAGGAGGAGGAGGAGGAGCAGGAGGAGGAGGAGGAGGAGGAGGACGAGGACGAGGAGGAGGAGGATGAGGAGGAGGAGGACGAGGAGGAGGAGGCGGAGGAGGAGGAGGAGGAGGAGGAGGAGGAGGAGGAGAAGGAACCCCTCCCCCTCCTCTCTCATGGCGGTGGCGGTGGGAAGCGAGCCCACCGGACCGGGCTTCGCGCGCCGAGCGGCGAGCTCGCTTGCCCGCCCCGACAGGCCAGGAGCCCGGCCGGGAGCCGGGCCAGGCGCCGGGCCCGGAGCCCGACGGGCCGCAGCGGAAGTCGGGGGCGGAAGAGAGGGGGGTGATGACTAGGGGGGAGTGGTTATCATGGCGGGGGCCATGATATTTCCCCCGATTTCATGGCGCCTCTTCTTGTTTCATTGCGTCTCTGGCCCCCCCGCTGGGCCGCGCACATGCCGCCGGTCATGATTTGCGCCCCCCCCCTCTTAGACACCCCCCTCTTGGCCGCTCCCGAGGAAGCAGCCGCCGAGGCCCGTGGACATCACCGCGCGCGAGGTGCGCGCTGCCCTCCGGCGCGGTGGCCTCGGGTGAGCCCGGAGGCGGCTGGAGGAGAGCGGGGGAGCAAGCATCAAGTAGTGGCGAAGCGTCCTGGCTCGCCTATAGCTCCACCAGACAGTTATCTAAGAACATGTTGTGTGGTTTCCACGGAATGTTCTTAGAACAGTTCTGGCGGAGATGGTCTTGTTTTAACATATCGGGATTATGTTCTAAGAGCATTGTTTTCGTTCTTAGAACATTGTTGGGTTCTAAGAACGTTTCGTGGTAGGACTATAGACATTCCAGGACGTTCGGTCCCTGCTCAAAAGCAATGACATAAATTCATCATAACTCGAAGGTCCGCGCGGATTTCTCGGATCGGCGCTGGACTCCCCTGGCCGCGCCTCCGGCGCCGCCGCGCGAGCCAGGGAGGGGTCCAGCGCGGATGCAAGAAATCCGCGCCGACCTCTGAGTTTCCATGTTTCCGTAGTTCTTCGTTCCCCCACAGAGGTTGGGCACGGACACCACGGCGTGACCTACGAGTAGGACGTAGGCACACGCTGCAGGTGCAGTTTGCTTTGCAATGCCTCTCCGTGCTCTCCTCCTGCTGCTTTCGCTCTCTCATACTTTCTCTCCTGCTCTCTCTCTCTCTATATCCCTCTCCTGCGCTGCTCCTAACCCCCTTCCTTCTTCTCATTTTCCCTGGAACCTCCAAGGACCTGGTAGGACGTTCTGACACTGAGAATCTCCAAGGGCCACCTAGAATCGTCTGAGACCCTCCTGCTCCCCCTCATGTCTTGAAACCTCGATCACCGATCCAATCTTTTTCGGAGGCTCCTCGAGGTTTCTCGGGGCCTGGAGGTCACTGGAAGCCTTCGGAGTTTTCTGGCGGCCCAAAGGATACGGTCTGCGACACGAAAGTTGGAGATGGAAGTGTGCACATTACCCAAGACAGCCCCACGCAGTCACATCGGACGCTGCACGCACGCCGAACCGACGTGGGCCAACAAGTTGACCAAAAGTCTGAACGCTTGGCGCGCCCTGGCGGCGGCCCCTCCGTACTCGAACCACCTTGCGACTCTCTGACCCCTGTTTCAGTATTGTAACGAGTAAGTGTCGGATGGGTTTCAACATCTTCATGCATGTCCTTTTTTACGCACAAGGTGAGGCCCGATGGTGGTCTCAAGCGGCTCCACACGGTTTCAGAGGGTGTCACAGTGCCCCGAAATCCCTGGCGCCAAGCACATCCGCGAGTCTCACGCGGCATCAAGGTGCCACGAAATCCGTGGCGCCGAGCGCATCCGCACGTCTCACGCGGCCACAAAGTGCCACGAAACCTTCGGCGCCGAGCACATCTACGAATTTCACAAGGTCTCACAGTGACGCGAGCCTCCCGGCACCGAGACCATTCACGCATCTCACATGGTTTCACAATATTTCAGAGTGCCACGAAACCCTCGGCGCCGAGCACATCCGCGAGTCTCACAGGGTCTCAAGGTACGACGAATCCCTCGGCAACCTGCGATCGCAGAGGCAAGCCAAATGTGGGGCGCGCGCGTCATGTCACGATGGCAATGCTTGCTCGCGCGACAGTGAATTCCCCAGTGGATCGCAGACATAACGCAAGCTCGCAATAGACAAACATGCAATCATGTAGGCTTTGGGGCGGCGCAGGCAGACAGTCTACGTGGAGCCCTTGTGAAGGCGCCGCAAAGGATGCGGGCCCGATGCGAGCGCGGAGTCCATTTCCAAACATGCCCTTTTCGGCCCGTGGCCGAAGCCGCCTATCAGCCTCCATCCTCTCCCTCCTCCTCCTCCTGGCCCTCCTGCCTGCCGCTCCTCCTCCTCCCCCCTTTGTGTCGCTCCCGTGCTGGGGGCCCGTTGCGCGACGAAGGGGCCGGGCAATAGTCCTGCCGCCCCTGGCCACGTGTCCGGCCAGGTAATTCGAGTGGCCCTCTCGCCCTCCCTGTTCTCGTCTCCCCTGGCCGCCCTTCTCGCGGCGCGACGAGCCGGAGGAGGAGGAGGAGGCGAAGGAGGAGGAGGAGGAGGAGGAGGAGGAGGAGGAGGAGGAGGAGGAGGAGTCTCTCGCTCTCTATCTCTCTTTTTCTCTCGCTCTCTCTCTCTCTCTCATTTTCTCTCGCTCTGTCTCTTTCTCTGTCTCTTGCTTGGTTTGTTTTGTTTATGTTGTTGTTGTTGTTGCTGTTGCTGTTGCTGTTGCTGTTGTTGTTGTTGTTGTTCTTGTTGTTGTTGTTGTTCTTCTTCTTGTTGTTGTTGTTGTTGTTGTGGTTGTGGTTGTGGTTGTGGTTGTTGTTGTTGTTGTTGTTGTTGTTGTTGTTGTTGTTGTTGTTAACATCTCTTTCTCGCTCTCTTTCTCTCTCCTTCTCTCTTGGTCTTTCTCTTTTTCTCGATGAGCGTATGCATGCACATTGGTGTGTTTTCTATTCAGGTCTTTAGGTGTCTTTAGGTGTCTCTACTACACAAACACGCACTCTCTTTTTTGCCTCTAGCTATCTTCCTTTGTTCTCGACCTCTCGTCCTGTCCCTTTCTCTCACCTCTTCTCGCTACTGGCATTGTCTCATGCCCTTCTGGGCCTGTATGCCCTCCCGGGCTTGTGAAGCTGCAGCCGAAGTTGCCGCGGTACCCAGAGCTGTTCGGCAACACGGTGCGCAAACATGAATGCGACCGTTCGATCCTGTCATTCGGCGGAACATCTCTGGCATGTGTAGATGCATGCAGATGCAGACGCAAGTGCAGGTGTATGCGTACATGCGTGCGCACATGATTGAGACCACAATGTAAGTGTTTGTTGACAGTTGGGCAGGGGGGAGTAAGTACACTTACTTCGAGGCGTTCCTCCATCTTTTCGCCCCTTCTCATCCTCTCCTCTTCCTCCGCCCCTCCTTCGCCCGCTTGCCCAGAGCTTCACAGCGAATCTTACGCAGCTCACGCTGGAGCCTCCGGGACTCCCTTGCAAGCCTCAAGCGTCTTCTCCCCTTCTGTATCCTTCTCCTCCTTCTCACTCCCTTCCCCATCTTCCCTTTTCTTCCGTCGCCATTTCGGCTCCGAGCCCGTGGCCCGATGCCGGGCCCGTGTTGGGTCAACCTGACGCCACTTCACGCACTCGTTCGTGGTGACCCGCGCCATTTTGGCTGCGTCGCGGCTCCGCTGCTTCCCGCACTCGTGCGTACTGCTGCCTCGGGACCTCTCGGCTACGGCCACCCTGGGAGTTGCAGCCTGCCAGCGCCTCTGCCTCCTGGCGTTCATTCTTTGACCGACGGTCCTTCGGGCCACCCTGGTACGCACGCTCACGCAGTCGTCCGGGGCTTCGCCCTTGCAACTTTCATTTCGCTCGACCGACGGTCCTTTGGTTGCGGCCACCCTGGTTCTCACGCAGTTGTCCGGGGTTCGGGCCCATGCATTAATTCCTAGGCTTCCGACCCGTGTCGTCGTTTGTCCCGACTTCTTGGTGTTTCTGACGCCATGCGTACTTGCACGCTGGCGGTTCGACTCAGTCTCAGTTGCCCTTGCCACCCGCCGGTCCGCCGCTGGGTTGCCACGTGAGTCCTCGGTTCGCCGCGTTAGGCGCGGCCTGTTGCCGCTGCTTTCGCCTAATCCGTCGCTGCGTTCGCTTTGACCTGACTCGCCGCCTGCGCGTTCGCCCGCGGCCGCTGACTAAAAAGTATCCCCACCAGCCCACTCAGAAACAGTTTGCCCGTTGAGTTGAAGCGTTGTTGTGAGAGGTTTTCGGGGGTCTCTTCGAGCCACCTTGGGGCTCTCTGGAGGTCCTCTTGGGGTCCTCTTGGGTTTCTGTTGGGGCCATCTTGGGACCCTCTTTGGGCCCTTTGGGCGGATCTGAGAGCTTTCTTGGGGCCGTCTTGGCCCCTGTAGCTGTAAAGGATGGGTCCTCACCCCCCATCGGAGGCTTAACCATTGCCTCTTGGGGCCTTCTTGGGGCGGTGTTGGGGTACTCTTGGGCGCTCTTGGGGTCTTCTTGGGACCCTCTTGGGCCCGTCTTGGGGCTGTCTTGGGCCGTCTTGGGGCTATCTTGAGGCCTCGGAAGCCCATCAGAAGCGAAAAGACCAGAATGTAATAATGAATGTATTGTCTTAGTTAAGGTTTTGGAGCTATTTTTGCCTGTAGGGGGGCACGCCCGACTTAATTCTTGGCGTCGCTCGGACGTGTGCCTTTTGCCTTCGGCGAGGACCATCAAGGAGCATCGAGGACCATTCAGGAGGGAACAAAAACACACAGACACAACGAATCGTCGATTTCCAATAACATATGGGAAAATATGGGAAGTGGGAGGAAGACAGAAACCCAGAAAATACAGGAACATATGGGGAATCCTGTTATCTCTGTGTATATTTACTTGTGTGTCCCAGGGCCCCTTCAGCAAACGGAGCCCATCGGCGGCGCGCCCGGGGGGGGGAAAATTACGGTGGAGACCCATGCCAAGAAGCACCCCGCTCGCCTCCAGGGTGCCCTGGGTGTCTTGGGCTTCGGTGGTTTTGCGATGAAGAGCGTGATGTTCCCACGCCAAGCATCGATGGACGCTCTGGGGTCTCAGGGTTGGGTTTCTTGTGGAGGGTGTCCTGTGGACTGGCCTCCCCTGTAGCAGGCGCAGGCCTCCTCAGGGTGCGGCGGGGCTTCCCAGCAGCTCTCTGGCCTTCTGAAGAGCTGTGGTGTCTTCGGGAGAGGCCTAGCCGATTTCTCAGAAGGCCCGAGGCCCTCCGAGCCTTCCGAGGAGGCCTGCTCTTTCGCACTTCCCCCCCAGGCTCGCCGCCGGGCCCAGACACCTGATCTGATCTCTCCACCGCGCGGCTCAGCAGTCCCGACGCTTTTCCCGGCTCAGCAGTCCCTGTCTTCCCCCGGCTCAGAGGGCCCAGGGAGGCCGCAACCGACCACAAAAGCCGCCGTTCTGATCTTCTCACGACGCCAGCGACTCCTGTGCATCAGCTCCGTGGCACGCAGGTCGGTAGTGGCACAGCGAGGGAACCTGAAGGCGACTTCTCTGCGAAGAGAAAGCGTCCCGCCCCACGACGCCAGCACGTCTGGGAGGAGGGCCTCGGCCACTTGGAGCCCAAGGGAGCCCCCGCCCGCCGCCGGGCGCCCAGCGGCCATGGCCGCCGCCGCGGCGGAGGAGGCGGGGCGGCCTGACTGGCGCGGCGCGGCGCCCGAGGCCCAGGCGACGACGTCACGGTGGTCGCCGCCTCTGTCGCTGCCGCGGCCGCCGTCGCCGCCGCGGTCGTAGCCATGAAGCAAGCCTGATGCCTTTGTGGCCTCTCGATGCGCGCCGCTGAGGAAGTGCGACCCCGACCCCCGACGTCACGATTTCGCTCATAGCGTCGCCCCCCAGAGGTCTCGACCCATTCTCTGGGACCGGCTTCTCATCCTGAGTCGCTGAGTCGCTTCTGACGGCCTGGGAGCCCGGTGCGGGATCCCAGAAGCCGAAACTTGCGAAACTCTCCCCGCCCCGACTTTCCGCAGGACCTCACGACCCGAGGGGGCCTGGGGAGGCAGGACGGGGAGGCAGTGGAGGAAGGCGCGGGCAAGCGTCCACGACCCGAGGGGGCCTGGGGAGGCAAAACGGGGAGACGATAAAGGAAAACACGGGCAAGCGCCAAGGCAGCGGACGCGAGGCCGAGGCGTCGTGCGCGGGGTTCCAGGGCCGAAGGCCGAGGCCGCTGCTGCCGCCGTCGGCAATACTAGTAGTCGTATTCGTAGTCGTAGTAGTCGTAGTAGTAGTAATAGTAGTAGAAGCTAGTAGTAGTAGTAGTAGTAGTAGTAGTAGTAGTAGTAGTAGTAGTAGTAGTAGTAGTAGTAGTAGTAGTAGTAGTAGTAGTAGTAGTAGTAGTAGTAGTAGTAGTAGTAGTAGTAGTAGTAGTAGTAGTAGTAGTAGTAGTAGTAGTAGAAGTAGAAGTAGTAGAAGTAGTAGTAGTAGTAGTAGTAGTAGTAGTAGTAGTAGTAGAAGTAGTAGTAGTAGTAGTAGTCGTAGTCGTAGTCGTAGTAGTAGTAGTTGTAGTAGTAGTAGTAGTAGTAGTAGTAGTAGCAGTAGTAGTAGTAGTAGTCGTGTCGTCGTCGTCGTAGTGATAGTAGTAGTCGCAGCTGGAATGTGAGTCGTAGTTGTAAGCGCAGTCGTAGTAGTAGTCGTAGTCGTAGTAGTAGTCGTAGTCGTAGTAGTAGTCCTCGTCGTCGCTGCCGTAGCAGTTTGAAACGTAGTAGTAGTAGTCGTCGTTGTAGTCGTAGTAGTAGTGGTAGTCTCCGTAGTCGTAGTAGTAGTAGTCGTAGTAATGGCGGTAGTTATTGTAGTATAGTAGTTGCTGTAGTGGTAGTTGGTGTAGTAGTACTATCTGTAGTAGTAGAAGTGCTAGTGGTAGTGGTGGCGGTGGTGGTAGTGGTACTGGTGGTGGTAGTGGCAATGGTAGGCGGTCCTAATCGTAGTAGTAGTACTTGTTGTTGTAGTCGTAGTCGTACTCGTATTCGTAGTCCTGGTGGTAGTATTAGCAGTAGTACTAGTAGTCATAGTAATAGCCGTAGTAGTAGTAGTAGTAGTAGTAGTAGTAGTAGTAGTAGTAGTAGTAGTAGTAGTAGTAGTGGTATTAGTAGTAGTAGTAGTAGTAGTAGTAGTAGTAGTAGCCGTAGTAGTAGTAGTAGTAGTCGTAGTAGTAGTAGTAGTAGTAGTAGTAGTAGTAGTAGTAGAAGTAGAAGTAGAAATAGAAGTAGTGGTGGCAGAAGTAGTAGTAGTAGCCGCACTAGTACTAGGGGTATTTGTAGTAGTAGTAGCAGTACACACTGTGCATTTCTAAGTATTCGAAGGTCCTTTCCAAGATCCTTGCATTTCTACACGTTCTATCCTGGGCCTGTTCCAAGCCACTAGGGGGACAGGAACAATGAGGAACGAGCAAGCTTACACATTAGCGCGATTAGACATTAACGGCGCGTAGTAGCAGTAGTCGTAGTCGTAGCAGTAGCCGTCGTCGTCGCTGTAGTAATACGAGTAGTAGTAGTAGTAGTAGTAGCAGTAGTAGTAGTAGTAGTAGTAATCGTAGTAGTAGTCGTAGTAGTAGTAGTAGTAGTAGTAGTAGTAGTAGTAGTAGTAGTAGTTGTAGTGGTAGTAGTAGTAGTAGCAGTAGTAGTCGTAGCAGTAGCAGTAGTAGTCGTAGTACGAGCAGTAGTAGTAGTAGTAGTAGTAGTAGTAGTAGTAGTAGTAGTAGTAGTCGTAGTCGTAGTAGTAGTAGTGGTAGTAGCATTAGTAGTAGTAGTAGTAGTAGTAGTAGTAGTAGTAGTAGTAGTAGTAGTAGTAGTAGTAGTGGTAGTAGTAGTAGTAGTTGTAGTTGTAGTAGTAGTAGTAGCTGTTGTAGTAGCAGTATTCCAAGGCGTAGTAGTAGTAGTAGTAGTAGTAGTAGTCGTCGTAGTCGTCGTCGTCGTCGTCGTAGTAGTAGTAGTAGTAGTAATACTAGTAGTAGTAGTGGTAGTAGTAGTAGTAGTAGTGGTAGCAGTAGTGGTAGTAGTAGGGGTAGTAGTAGTCGTAGCAGTCGTATTAGCAGTAGTCGTGGCAGTCGTCGTTGTCGTCGAAGACGTGGTGCCCGCAGTAGTAGAAGTTTAAGCAGTTCTAGTAGTAGTAGGGTAGTAGTAGTAGTAGCAGTAGCAGTAGCAGTAGTAGTAGTAGTAGTAGTA